GAACTGAGAACTGAAGGTCTTCGGCAAGAGATTGCGGCGATGAAGATCGAGAGTATGGAACTTCGGGAAAAGATTGTAGCATGCACTGAAGCCCATAACAAAGAGTTGCAACGAGTGAATGAGCTTATGGCGAGTTTGGCGAAGGAGATGAAGAAGCATGAAGTCGAATTGGCTAGTTGGACGGAATTGATAGAGTGTCAAACGGCCAAGTCTTCGGAGATCAAATGTAGATTGAAGTTGGGTGCAGATTGCGATCGGTTGCGAGATCAGTTGAAGGCAGTTACAAAGCAGTTGGAGACGTTGCGGACCAGAGCGGAAGCGATCGAATTGACGTTTTGTCAGCTGAAGGAGGAGACGATTGATTATTTGAGTCTGCGTGATTTTATTATGTGGGAATTCCAAATGTTGAAGTGGCTGAATTAGATTCGCTGGAGCGGCGATTGATGGGACTCAAGACCAGCGGAACCGTTGGACATCAACTGTTAGTTAGATTAATCCATTCTTTCTCTTCCGGATTAGAAGAAGCGCGAGAGAACTTAGAGATTAAGATTTTAGGCGTGTTGCGTAGATTAGGAGTGTACGGAAGCTCAAAAAATGCAGTAACTGTAACCGCTGTAAACGTAGAGTAGCATTTTAACACAACTAATGTTTACAAAGATCAATATGGAAAACCAAGAGCTTGGTTACTTTGTTTGTCTCGAACCAAACATATGTATGACATCAACTTAGAGTAGCACTCTACCACAATTAATGTTTACAAAGATCAATATGTAAATCCAAGAGCTTGGTTAATTCTTTTGTTTCGAACCAAGCATATGTATGATTTAGTTCAAATCAATTGCAAGACATACCAGAACACAATCCATGAAAATTATGCTTCGTTTTCTTCAAGTAAAAATATCACAACCTTAAATGAACAAATTTTTTTTTTTACTTTCTAATAAGTCATATAATTACAAAGAAAATGTCATTAATTTAAAATACAAGATCTAAGTGTGAATCTTTTTTAACACTATTGAGATAAATCTACAAGATTACTTTAGCAGGAGTGAGAACCACTTCTAAGGTAAATATCAATTTCATCAAGAAAAATGAATTTCATAAATTCTTTACTACATAATAATAAATTTAATATATTAAATTTCTCAAGAATTAAAAAAAGAAAAAAGATTAAATCTCATGTGATTATTTCAAACCAAATTTTTTTTAAATATTCGAAGATTTTGAAAATGTGAGGTTATGATCTTTATTTTTATTCTTGCATGTATCTCAATAATGAACATAATCATAGTCACACAATGAAGTCTATCTTAGATAAAAAGTCTATCAACACTAAATATTTTAATGTGGTTTTTTTCATTGATTATAGTTCTAACCTCACAAACATACATGACAATACTTTTTACCTTTGTGGCAAATATACCTATACTATCAAAGATATTTTGTTCCAATTCCATGCATGTTCATAATTTTGAAATTAAAGCTTGTCAATTATGATAAATATGCAAATGAAAAAATTTAAATTTGAATAAATGAAATTTTTTTTAAAAATATGGAAAAATGTATATAAAAAAATATTTTTGAATTTTCATAATCAAGATATAACAAATAATTGAAATAAATCCTTGGAAATAGTTCATTTGAAATAGGATGGAATAAGGTTTTTAATCTAAATTTTATAGAAAAATTTCTATATAATAATAATTATTTTTATTATTTCAATTTACTATTTTTGAAATTTTGAAATTTTGAAATTTTTTGCATTTTTTTTCAGATTACTCTCATAATTTTATATCCATATATATTTACTGAATAGACAACTAAACAATGTAGTAGACATCAAAATTATTAAATAAAAAGTAAGTCATTTGAACAACTGTTTTTCCTTTTTATTGTATGCAAAGAAATAATAAAATGATCTTTTAATTTTATATACACAACTACAATATTTTCTTCAAGTTTATTATGATATGAGCTAGCAACACTCATCTAATTTCTTGCTAATTTAACTAAGATCAAATATATCATGATTGATACAACTACATTATGTCGATTTTGCTTTCTAACTATAACATGATCTATTTCTGATAAACTTCAAGTCTAATGATTGTTAGCTATGAAAAAGTATAGACTCTTATTTCCATCAACCACAACTAGATAGTTTCAGGTTGATTTGATATAATAATTTCTATTTTTGTTAATAACACGTAAATTTAATTCTACATCAAGTGCAATAAGGTTTCAAACACGTTTTTGGTCACATGAAGAAAGAAGAGAGATACATATGATATTATGGATGAGCTGGCGCATGACTTTAAAGTGATGAAAACGTTAACATGTATTAAATTCAAATTGAAAAATTGAATTGAATAAAGATTAGATATGAACTATGTTGAACTTGTTTTGCATTGATTGTAAAATATATGTAGGCGCTATGAAAATTTAGATTACAATAGTAACATGTGATATAGTATCAAAATAGAAATTTATATGACATATTCAAAAATCTATTAGGTTATGTGAATGCTGAAATATAATAGAACTATTGGTTCTACATAGTTATTGTATCTCAATAAAAAGTTTAGTTTAATTTTATGGAATGAATAGTTAACTCCATTTTATCCCTTGATGGCAAACTTCCATACATTCTTCTACAATAATCACTGTTCCTCCTTAACGACTTGAATTTTTGTTTACCTTCATGACCTACAACTTATGGGAGATAGAAATGATGGAGACAATTAAGATTTATTTAAGAGATTGGCTAAAATCCTAACAACAACACATGCATCGTGCTATATCACTCACGATTTCTCTTGAAGACTTGACAATTCATGAAGTTCACATATAGGAAGTTATGAGACATCGAAATGCTGGAGAACACTTTGTTTCATTCGCTCAAGATCATAAGAAATTTTTTTTTCATTAATTTTACTCTATACAGTTTCCATAGATTTAAATCTGAGTACCGATAAAACCAACCATTAAAGAGAAGACCATATCCCATAGGCAAATATAGGTGAAAAACTGCTCACATCCTCCAAAATCACTCCCGGACATCACTCCTCACCCACCCGAAACAAATAACCTCAAATTGTGGAAGAAGCTTGAAAACGAGAAAGGCATGGTAAAGAAGAGTGTGCCGTAAGTAAAAATTACTGGGAATATGAAAATAACATTCGTATGCACATCGCCTTCTTGTCTGTAGGAGACCGGAAGGTCCACAGATTTCAATTAAGGGCGAGTTAGCTCCTCCCTGGAGCCGCAAGTCTCCACGACAAGTTCTCTGTCACACTCCTTCATACGAGATCTAGCCGTGCGCCTGAGATCGTGGAAACTCGTATATAGTAGAGATCCGTCCGATCGGAGTTCCCCGTCAATGGAGAATAGACAGACGGCGTAAGAAGCATGTTGCATACTCTGCTGCACTGTCGCTTCCGAAAGCCTCCCGCCGTCGGCATGACATGGCATGGCATTCCTTCTTCCATCTTTGAGGATGGTTTTGTTGGAGTCGAGGTGCTGTGTGTGTGTCTCTGTAAGAGACGGATGTGGATGTCGTAACTTCATTTCCTGTCGAGATTGAAATATATTTTTTTACAGTGGGAACAACAAAATGGTTCGGGCACAAAGGTTTCATCAAACCACGTTGCAGAAAGTACCTCCGATGAGCTGCTGATTGCAGGAAGGTCAGGCGGGTTGTGATGGAGAGGGCATGCATCAATATTCACACGCTGTATGAAAGGACAACATTAAAATCACATTGCGCGGCCTATCTGAAACTGTTCTGTTCATTTCAGAGATCAGACTGGTGATTCGTGACGATCGTCGATTGCTACCTGAAAGTTTGTGTACCTTCCCTATATGTGGCATTATCGAGGATGAAGCATTTAAAAAGCGGTAACTATCGTACCGTCTGCATTTGCTCCTTCGATCTAGTGGATCCACTGGAGTGCTAGAGCGTCTACCAAACAAGCATGAATTACATCTTCATGTCAGAACGAGATTCACGTCCGGTTTCATATTGATGAAGACACAGTAGGACGAAGTGTCGATGCCACGCTGCGTCCGGGCAGGAAGGAAAAGGTTGCGGACACGGGAACATCAGAAATCTAGACATCGATTTGACGAGTGACGTGTTTCGAATTCACCTCATTTTTGGTTCTCCATAGCGAATTTCACGAGACCGCATCGAAAGGGTGGGGGGCGGGGGAAAGAAGATTCGTTTGGCCTGCTTTGCCTGCGGCATGGACGCTGAATGAGGGCCATCAACGGTCCGTCAGGCGACGGAGCCAATCTGGACGGTGCTACAGAAGAGACAAAACGTGACGCCAGCCTCCGCTCTGACTTGCAGGAGCGCTTTTCTTCGCTGGATGGATAGGTCCACAGCTTTCGGACGGTTGGCGGAGGACCGTCTGCCGATCCGATCCACGCCGTCGGCAACCGTCTTGGACGGGGCTTCTCTCCGGCAAGAAGATCCAAAATCCAACGGCGCGACGGGATCCTTCTTCTGTAAAGTTGCGAAATCGGGCCAAATCCAACCGCCGGTGCCCTCTGCCGGCGAGGAATCACCGGCGTCGCAGCCCCGCGCGCTGCCACGTCCCTCACATCTCCGCCATCGCGAACCTGCGATGCGCGGCATCTCCTTGCCACCGTCGGATTTTCGCGGGACGTTTGACGGAGTTGGAAACTCGTCAAACCGCACTGTTCGGATAATTGGATCCGACCTGTCAGCTCCACTCCCGAGCAACCGTCACCGCAACTCACGCCGGTGACCTTTACTCCACACGCCGGTCCGGTTAGCTTCAGAGGACTCGAAGAGTTAGTCAATCGCCGGTCATCGCAGAGGGACATGCTGGACGCGAAAAAGTCTCTATCGGGTGGAAACTGGGAGCGGAAGTCTGCACGCTAAGCACAGGTCAGGGCGTGACCGGCTGCTAACCCGGGCATGTGTCGTGTGGGGAGTCGGAGCTAAAAGGGTGGGAGAATCGACAACTGGAAGTGGAGGGAGTTGCTGAATTAAGGAAGCCCGCGACGAGAGAGGGAAGGGGAAAGTGGCGGAGCGGTGAAGTGAGATTCCGAATTGCTTCGAGAGCAAGGAAGCGCCGCAGAAGAAGAGCAGGCAGTCGAGATGAGATAGAGAAGGGAAGGGAGGAGTGCGAGCGTGGATTGGAGTGCAGAGGGTCAGGAAGAGTGTAGAGCCCGGGGGCGAGGAAGAAGGTGGAAATTTGGTCTTGGGTGTTGGTAGTGGTGTTGGTGGTGGTGGACATAGATACTCAGAGACCCAGACTCCGACAGACTCGATTCCTTCTTCAAGGATTGACTGATTGATTGAATGAATGATTGATTCGTTGATCGATTGATTTGCTTGCGGCCATCGACGTTCATCTCGACTCACACGCGCGAACTAAAGAAGGTATCGATTGCGGGTCTCTTGCAGCTTTTTTGTTGGTGTTGATGTCCTTGATGCTCCCCTCTCTCTTTTTCTGCTCTTGGCAAGTCGCTTTCAGAGGTAATTCGCGCAAGGCTTGATGCCATCGGGACCGCGAAACGCTCTGTAGGATTCCAGGGGTAGGGAGAATTGCAATTTGGATCGGAGTCTAGTTCATTCATTCGAAAGAGCTGCATTTTTCGTTCCTACTTTTTGAAGACTGTCGAAACGCTGAGGAGGAGTACGCGGGATGCAGGTTTAGATCTTGGGGCGGTCGAGAGATGTCGAAGTTCTGGTAGTAACGGGGAATTGAGTCGTAATTGTTGAGAGAGAAGTGAGAGGATTGCGGAATTCGACCGGAAGCGGCCATTGCAACTTGCTCCAGTGCATCTAGACCAACCCAATCTCTGAGTATCCGCGTCTAATGTGGTGAGAGTGTGGATTCTCTATGCCCGGGGAACCTGAGCAGATTGCGATCATCGCGTCAGAGCTTTGATTGGCAGCTCGTAGAAACAGAAGTTTGGTTGGAAGAGAAGCCCGGATTGGATAAGCCTTCCAAATCATCTTGGATTTGCACTCTGAAAGCAACCTCCCCGCCACGGGCAAGAAAGTTGGTTCAGACGAATTACGCCGGGATCATCGCATTCTCGTTTGCCCTCCTTGCGTCCTGAGCCCCGCCGACTGACACTTGCTTCCATTGCTTTGCAAACGGAGAGCAGATCTCGAGGGGCGAGACCCGCGCGCTCGGATTGGCGACATCGAAGGAAGGAAAGAGGAAAGGCTCGGAGGGGAGAGGAATCCATCCGTCGTGCAGAATGGGAGAGAGCGAGTTTCAATTCAAGCAGACGACGAACCTCGAGAGCAGGCAAGCGGAGTCGGCGAGGATACTGGAGAAGTACCCCGACAGAGTGCCGGTCATAGTGAAGAGAGCGGACAAGAGCAGCATCCCCGACATCGACAAGAAGAAGTTTCTGGTGCCGGTGGATTTGGCCGTGGGGCAGTTCGTGTTCGTCATCCGCAAGAGGATGAAGCTGACGCCGGAGAAGGCGATTTTCGTCTTCGTCAAGGACGTCTTGCCTCCGACCTCGGCCATGATGGCCCAAATCTACGACGAGTACAAAGACCAGGACGGGTTTCTGTACATGACCTACAGCGGAGAGAACACCTTCGGATCCTCGCACGATGACGAGGTCGCCCTCGTTGGCTGAAGCCGTCGTCCTGTATATAGCTAGTACATACACATCCGATGACCTCGATCGATGCTTCCCGAGAGCTCGCGGACCGCCCAAGGATTCGCTTCTCTTTCTCCGCTCCCTTGTACATTGTGTGTATAGATAGCCATCGATAGATAGATCGATCACCGTAGGCGCCTTAGGGTTTGGAACACGGAGGCTCAGGTCTCTCCGCTGCGACACACGACCATGTGAAGATGAAGATGAAGAAGAAGAAGAAGACGACGACGACGCCGAGAAAGGCCGAGGAAGGGCGAGTCCTGCGCGTTTGCCGACCGAGAATGGTGCTGCAGCGGATGGGAATTCGTAGTGAATGACATCACGAGGCGAGACGAGAGGCCGCCTGAACTTCTGTGAATCTTGTGAAAAGCCTTAGAGTAGAAAGACGAGAGGCTAGAGGTGCGAAAGTGAATCTCAGTAATTAACTTTCCTGCACGAATCAGGAAATGAAAATGGTCGCCACCCTCCCCCTATCTTTCACCAGCAGAGCAGATCGACATCTGCTCATCTTTTCAAATTCCTCTCGGATGAGATGACTGGATAATAATGGACAGCCGCTGCTCTGATCTCTCTGCCCAACTGTGGAAAGAGTGCGAGTAGAGAGAGCTGAGAGGTGCGAAAGAAATGTACTCGTGAAGATCTCTGTTTAGAGACGGGATTAAGTTCAATACTTTCAGGGCACTTGTGTGCGTCCGCATGTACTTATGTGTCTTATGATCTGGACTATTGCCAGTCCGCTCTCACTCAGCGGATCGGATTGCTTTGTGAGAGTTGTTTGTGCTGTCAAGCCATTGTCGCAGCAGGCCCAGAATTCTTCTCGAAGCTGCCAGTTTTGTGAAACGGACCGAGCTTCAGTACTCATCACGCTCATTTCCATTATCTGCGGTGACCGTGGTGCCCGTCCGGAGATTTCCAAGAGAATGGTAGCAGTCAGTGGATCGAGAAGACAAGGAATGGGAGCAGGTACGAATCGAAGCCCTGTGCTCTGACAGTTTTTGTCTTTGTGGGTTGTCCGATGCCAGTCCCAAAAGCCCCTCGATATCAGGCACAAATTTCCACGCAGGTAAGTTCTAAGCATTATCTTCCCCGCTGTCAAGTGGCTTCATGAACTGAGTTCCATGTCTCTTAAGTTACTCATGCCCAGTCCTCTCTACATACGGCAAATACGGAACTTGAGAGTCCGATTGCCGTATTTCGTTTTCAAAAAGTTCCGTATTTCCAACAAAAAATTCTTTGTTACCTAGGTGGCTTTGCTAGAGAAACTAAGTGAATCACTCAGCTAAAACTTCGCGGTGACGGTGTGATAATATCTTTGTTGATCTAGGTGGCTTTACTAGAGTAACTAAAGGAGTTACTCAACTAAAACTTTGAGGTGACAACTGATGAGTTGAACCAGGCAAGTTCTAGTATTTTGTTTCCTTGCTTACTTCAGTAACTTTTAGCTTTGAAAACTCGAGAAATTATTCAACTAGTTCTAAAATATCAAGAAAACAGCTCTTGGTTTTTGTGAAACGAGAACATTACGAAGTCGATGTTATCGGTTTACAAAAACATGTTCATTGATTCCAGGTATTAAGAATAGATTTCTTCAACTCATGCAGTTTTTCGGAGGGTTAGTTTGACCATTTTCGAACATTGCAACGATGCGGAGAGTGATTTTTCAGTGCTGAAATGGTAAAAGTCTATTCACAGATAAAAAATATTTCTAAAAAAGTATAAAAAAGATATCTCTAACAAGTTGCGAATATTCTGTATTTTGATTTGAGAATTATCCTTAGTTTGTTGAGATAGGGAACATATGGAATCCGCCCTATATAGAGAGGCCTGCTCATGCCTTATGAGGTGAATATCATAGCTTCATTAGGTTCAGTCGAATCAATGATAGCATATGTGTCAACTGTCCGCGCTATGCAGTATCGTCTCGATGGATTGCTTCACGGGAGTGAGTAACGCTTTGATTCGGTTTATGGCGGAATTCACTTATCAATTATGGTTTCTATGTTTGTTGGAATTGAGGTGGAGTGAGTCAGTTTTTTGTATTGTCTCTTGCAGCAGTTGCTTAGGATATTTCACAATAAGCGCATGACGCTACTTCTGATTGTTGTTGAATAGCCGGAACTTGTTATCCTTCCACTCTACCCAAAGGTCTGCGCTAAGAGCAGCATCATTATTGCAGATTCCACATCGTAGTCCAAACACTTCACTTGAAATTGAAGTAACTCGACACAATGTTTATTGTGTCGAGTTGTCCATATTTCACAATGTGTTCATACACTTTGTGATAAATATTGTTACGTTGAATATACTCACATGTATACATAGTCCAATGCTCCTTGCGTTTCCATAAAGTCGCTGGAACACAATGCCGAGGTGACTGACTTTGTGATACCCTTCTCAATGTCTGCATTAAATTAGTATGGTAGGATGGTACAAAGCATATCAAACATTAGTTCACCCCCTACACTGTGTTGGGAAAAAAGTAGATAATTTAGTATCTCTTTGCTGATTTCTTTAAAAAAAATTTCTCTACACACGACCAGGATACCAGTTGGTTGCAATAGATATTGCATCCTCCATCCTATCTATAGAAGACTATGGATGTATTTGGTCTAGTTGGATTTCCCACATATTTTATGGCTTTATCCATTGTAATTTCTAACATGAATCTAACATGAACTAGTATTGTCATTTTAAATATAGAGCAAAGCTTAAGAAAAATTATTTGTCGCTCATTCAAAAGAGTAATGAAAGATGTGGTTTGGATCAATCTTGCCCCAAACGATCCAATCGTAAGGAAAATCTGCCAGTAGTCTTTGTTGATATAATCTAGTGTCTTACTCAACAAATGCTTGGTCCCCCGTGCTTTAATCTAGACATCTATTTTCCAAATACCATTCAATGTCTTCAGGTTCTTGACAAAAGTTCTAGCAGCCATAGATCCTGAGACATTACTGAATCTCAAATGCTCATTTTCTATACTTTAGAGTGTTAAGCTTCATCATCCTATCAAGCTCACGGTCCCAATTTGATCCGTAGCTTCTCATGTTTTTAACTTGGTTGCCCTAGTCGATTTAATGAGTCCATAGAGGAAAATGTTTCCAATGACCTGTGTAGGGTTGGCGGCACAACCAAATTATTCGAGGCATTCCCGTGCCCCCTTTCAAGGTCAAACGGCATGCCCCATGCCTCCAGTCACGCCCGTATCAAAATACGTATACTTGATGTATCAAAAATGTATGTATGTGAAAATAAAGCATTCTAAGAAATAAAACTACTGAAAAGTTCGGACTAATACGTATAAATATGTTCCTACATACGGACATGCCTCGTATGGAAGACTGCGAACAAGGCATGCCCATGTGCCCTCGCATGGAGGCATGCCTTACAGGTTGTGCCTCCGACACTACTCTTGTGTCTTAACTGTAACTTGTTACCACTACCTTTTGTACTCATATGTGAGATTTTAATTACAATTCATATAAAATTCTCCACATCTCAATTGATTTTTTGAAGTGTAGCTCTAGTTTTATTACCACATCATTTCTCAAGAATCTATCGATCAAATATGTGACTAGTAGGGAAAAAAATTGACTACAATGTAACCTCTAAACTACTTATGTGTAAAAATGTCATCTCTCAAACATAAGGTCCCAACTCAGAAGCCACTTCTAAGTATATAATTAGCTTTCACTCTTTATGACATCTACATGATTGCTAAATTACATAAAGCAACTATCACATCACATTCAACATTACAAAGTGCCACGGACGTGAATTGTACCCACAGTTGAATTAAGCACTCTTTATTGAAGAGTAGTCTACACATATGAAGGATTTTCGAGAAGCTTTTCTCCTCCTCAAAATGGATCTTTGAAGGAGATCGGTAGTTTGTGGATTAGTCTTTCTTGCAACAAGCACATGGACCTTGCTTCCCTTCCCTACTCTTCCCTTCCATGCACTGTCGTATAACACACGAGTTCTCAACTCTGTAATATGACGTTAGAGAGAAACTTGATGAGGACTGTGCGTCGATTTCTGTTTGGATGAAGGGCGTTTCTTGAACCTTCAGCAAGTCTGAACCGAAGCTTTACATCATATCTGTAACTTTTCTCGATAGCCCGTGAATCGCACTATAGATGCATCCCTCAACCTCGGGGTTGTCGTGAAGAAATTGTAAACAGAAGTCCAGAGTGTTCTCCGAAAGACATGCAATCGCGTGCTTCATCTCGTTACGTTAACTTCTTTCCATGTTCACGGATTGAGCTTCTGAGCGTGTCCTTCGACGAAATTTCTGGTCCTAGTAACGAGGAGTAAGTGAGGCACCTTGGCCCGATGTATGACATTTGTTTGTCAAGTTTGGACCTTGCGTTAATTATGTTCTTTCGCTGTATATTCATGGCTTCTTCTACAATACGTGAGAAGCATCACCTGTACTGGCTGAAACATCGAGGATAAGTGTAACTAACCTTCAGCAAAGATGATGGGGATTTGATTCCATGGGCAAGTCAGCTCACAGTTACAGCTATGATAGTTCAATCGTTGTAAGACAGTTCAATTGTGCTCGAGGAGTTGAACTGATGCATGTATGGAATGTTTGTGCATGATAGCGATGCGTGTGATGGGTGGATCCTGACAGCATTATGCCACGTGAAGCTCAAGCCTTTGTTTTCTAGTATAGCCATGCAGATCCAGATTGCCGAGATTTCCATTCCAAGATTAAATTCTCCAGGCCTGTTGAACACACATCTGAACAATTTCGTACCTTCCCGTTCTGTTGCAGTACCGGGTAAGAAACTCGTCCCCCAGTGACGCTACTACTTCTTCTCCTCCTGTACACGATACGATGTTCAGACTTGGATCTCATAAGTTGCTCTGATTCTTCCTCTTGACTCAAACCAGGCAGCTCCTCGTGGGGCTTCAGGGTTCATTCACAGACTCTCACTCTTGAGCTTGCGTCCGCCAAAGACAACTGAGGTCGGAGCATTGTCTTGTCATGAAGATATGACGAGAAGCAAGGAGTGACAGAGCTCCTAATTCATCCTCGTCTGCAACCGAGTCAGCTTTTTCGATTTCAATTAATTAATTAATTGTTCCATTTGTTCATTTACTTGTTTTCTCTCCGCCAGCGAGTCTGAGCAGAGCGGTGTCCGAGGCTTCTCTCCTTAAACTTTGCCCCGAATTTCTGAAATCTGAGCTCTTGGCGTCTTAATCGCCGATCGGCCCGATTCATCATTGGAACGGTATGTGCATCCGCGAAAGCAAACTCTGCAACGCGTATTTCCTCTCGATAGAAATTTCAGATGTCGCCCTTTGATACAGCTCGCCATGAAGATTCAGTGTGAAGCTTCACGGGATTGTAATGATGTCGAATCATGGTTATACTCGGAACAGGAATCTGTTGTTAATGCCATAATGTCATGCTTTCCAAAGGCTAAAGCACATGATGCAAATTTGAATAGAATTCGAGCTCATCGAATTGAAATGCAATCCCACGTTAACACTTGTATCTTAACCTCATACGTGGACAAATAATAAAATAGATTCAACGAAGTTGGAACTTCCAAGCGAACACTTTCCAATAGACCTTAGCAAGTATTTACAATAACTTTTTTTGAATTTGGATACGATGTACCGTCGGCGGGTTTATTGGCTAAAACAAAACATGATGTATACCATCAAGCAATTTGTGCTACAATGAGGTACCATCAAGTAATTTTCTCTTCTCGTTGATTTGACTGCAAACAACTTTGTAACAGTTTGAAAATCATCAATACCTTCACTTGCAACATTTTTTGAGATTAACATCCAAGCTTGACACATGACAACATATCAAAATCTAGAAGAATCATCAACAAGATTAGATGTACGTTATATATGTGATGTTAAATGATTTGGCCAAATCTAGTAATTCAACTCAGTTAGAAGAAGATTATATGAAGTTGAATATATATATATATATATGAATAATACAGATATTCAAGTTTTTGGTTGGATTATTCTAAATTATTATGTGGATGACATTTTTATTGCAATTACAAACAAATTGGATGTTGCTCTTTTAAATTATGAGTTTATATGAAAGATCTTGATGCAACAACAATAATATTGGGAATCAAGATACAAAGATATTGAAGGATGCAAAACTATGCTTTATTCAAGTAGAAAGTATCATGAATATGCTGAAAAGATACTTGCAAGTTTCTACATGAATCATTGCAAGGATTTGAGACAACTTTAGCCCTTCATTTGAATTATGCAAAGTTTATTATTACTAAAACTTTGCTCAATCCTGACAGCGATAATTCAAACTTGCAAGAGGTAAAACAAAAAGTTGTTTGATTAATATTAAGTGTACTATACATAAAGAGTAGGTAATGTATGATTTTTAGTAACCACTGCGTGGGAGCTTACGGTTTCATGTTCTATTTCACTCCCCGATGGGGGTTCTTTTTGTTATAAGCTCTTTGCTCTACACATGATATCAAATCAGATCTTATTTTGTAGAAAAAAGTATTTTATAATGATTGAAAGAATCAAAATTGATGATAAATTTAATCATGTTGATGCTTTTGCCCACTTGATTGAAAAAATATACATTTAAGACATTGTGTCTTATTGTAGGTTTTGCATATGAATGGAAGCATAATCAAATTGCAGTTATTTTATATGTATATATGATCATATCTATCTAATGTTAGCTACGACTTTATTCTCATTAATTTTAACTTACATTGTTAGATATTGTCTAGATCTTTTTGCAAGATAATCAAATAGATTATAGAGGTCATCTTTTCCAAGATATAACTCAAGTGAAAAATTATTAGTTTTAAAACTGTCTAGATAAGTTATGTCTACATTGACCATTGTTAGATAGTCAAGCTTTTTTCTCAGTATATAACACAGCTTGTCATAACTCTAAGCTACAAAACTAATACTACATTTACAGCCATCACAATTGTGGATATAAACTCGTAAATGGCAAATTAAATGAGAATTAATCTATCATTTTTCATTGATTTGGATAGAACAAATTTTAACTATATACAAAATAAAATCACTTTGTAATTTTTTTAATACTTTCAATAGATTTAAAAAATATTTTCAATATAATATGTATTTCACATAACATGCTATAAATAAAAAATTTTCATTGATAAAAATTTGCTTCACTAAATATCTTTATGAAATTTTTCTATTGCTTTGTAATTTCTTTTATTTTTTATTGAATATGATTGATTTTTTTAAATTTCAAAATATATGCATTTGAATTTTAAATACGATATAAAAAGGATTTGTAGTTTTTTTTCTTATATAGATGCTACAAGTCAAATCCTCTAGTTCAAAATTAAATCAAATGATATAATTTAAGCTGAATATGTGTAAAATAATATTTTTTCTAGATAAAATTAAAATTATTTTTACAAATGACATTCATAATCAATTTTTTTAATAAAATCAACTAATTTAGTTTCCATCATTCATATTTAGAAATTGAAATTTGATGAAAAATTAATAAAATCTATGGATTTTTTTTTAATCTAGAAGTTAAAGAACCATTTTTCATCTTCTCATTAAAAATATTTTAAAAATGGGTTTTCATAGTTATATTACAAAATTAGAAATAGCTATAGTATGAATATCCATGAATACTTGATACAAAATTTTGAATGTTTTAAAAAGTATATGTATAAATATATATTTAAAATATGATATTTAATTTAAAATTTATGTATCAATATGCTATATTCTAATTGAATCATAAATGTAATATGAATATCATGTAATATCAAACATCATCAATAAAAAAAATCATTCAAAAATTAATTTTTTTATATCAGTAAATAAATAAAATTATAATAATTTTATGTTAATATATTTTAAGGTGCAAGAATTTTTAGAATATATCTTTAATTGAAAGTTTGAGAAGAAAATAATCAAAGATGATATTTTTGAAAACTGATTTGTATTGAAAATGATGTATAGAATCTAGATTGATTTAGTAACTATCCTAGTATATATTCATCAAAGTATGTTAGGTTGATGTGTATAGAAAGACTTTTCCAATAACTTTTAACCTTAGGATTTCAAACAAATATTTGAAACTGAATAATTTTTCAAATCAAGTTGAATTTGCAATATAGATTATTTATAAATTTTGTAAGTTCAAAAAAAAAATGTGAAGTATCTTGCATGTTTCATATTGCTACATCTTTATAATTACAAGATGGGAATTTTTTGAAATTGCATCATTCTTATACATGCAATTTTTTAACAATATTTTCAATGTCTTGTAAAGCTAAATCAATACTTTTGTTGGAAAGATGAACATTGAATTTTTATACTTTTTGGAGTTTCAATTTTGAAACATATCAATTTCACATCAATAAACTCAAATGATTTGTATAATTATTAATTTTAATTTGGGAAGTTTGACAATGAGGGCTAGCCAAAAAGATGAGAATGATAAAGTTGATCCAAGAATACATTCAAATACTTATAAATTTTTTACGCTTTGATTTGAATGTTTGGTAGTTATTTTGACTCTTGACATATCATAGATATTGCTAGTTTAGGATATCTTTTATATTTATCATTAATCATCCATCATGAAAGTCTTTGATGAAATCAGAGATGCATGGTGTATGAGCTACACACAATAATATTTCACCGTTATACATGTATCAAGAGCGTTGAATACTGCTGAAGGGTTAAATGAAAACCATGATATGTCAAGTTGATTGAAATTGGGATCGTAAAACCTCAACTACAATGAGTTTTCATTGAGGAGGTCCGGGTGTGGTTTGGGACACGAAAAATCCGTGCGTGCCTCGATCGGCAAAGTAAGGTGATATTAATGATAAGATAATGTGAGATTCCATGTATAATTTTTTGATACTTGTGGGAACTGTGTGATATCTCTTTTATGTTTGATATTTCAGTTGGAATTGTATACGTCTGATGTTAAATCAAGAAATTTATAGTGATGTGATGTTGAGGGAATATCTTCACATATGTTTAAGTGAATGCTTCAGTACCAAACCCTATGTCAAGTTCTACGAAGCTCAAAGATGCAAATGGGAAGTTATAACCATGTGTATATGGACAAAGTTGAATTCTTGTTTTGGAAATATAACATGCTCCAAGGTGAATAACATTTGAGATAAAGATTAAGATGTATTTAAATTCAATATTGCTAAAGATGAAGAGGTATGCTCGTGTCCATCCTCATAGAAATACAAACCGTCACTACAGTATACATCTATCACATACGATAGAACGTAGTATGCTGCAACAAGTGGTAACCGCTGCGGTAGTGTGGTAGCTGTGGTGGTATTCGTTTCCTGCACTTCCTGTTGTGTTTGTTTACGTAAACCGAGTTAAATAATTTACAATTTGATATATTATTATCATATGCATTTCACACGTTCTATCCGCAGACGATAGGCTTACCAACCAAGCATTAACCTTTCTTCTCTTCTCACGGAAACCATTACACCACTACACCGATGGTATGACTGAACTGATGTTTCTGCTTCTTCACATCGCCGCAGAAAACTGACGCTGAGATGATATCTCTAGTGTCAAAAGCTTTGGATTCGAGAGGAGGCGATGGTTCGTGGTGGCCTCAATGTCTATCGTTACGCACACAAGGTATCAAACTCAGGTTGTCCGAACATGTTCGTGGAATATTATCACTCGGAGATCGACGCAAATCGTAGCACCAAGAATTCATCTGAGAATATGCAAACATGTCACTTTGTAATGGCCGTGTCTCCTCAATCTTAAGAAAAAGGTGCAAAACAAGCAAACTTAAGTCTGTTTCTGAAATCCCAGTAGTGTTCAACATTACCAACGACTGTAATTGACACTCGCTCTGGATATTCGACGTTGATCATACAACTTCCAGTGCATCCACTTTTTCCGGATCGATGAGACAGAAATGTATAGACTATTAGAGCTTTAAAGAAGATCGATGGATTTTCAAGGAAGAAATCACCGACATCAACCTGCCCGTGTAAATAGGGCTCATAGAGAACTTCCCTAGTTCGGCAGTGTAAATTTAAAATGAAAACTTGTATCAGTATCAAAATTTAATTCAAACAGCTTTCAATTTGTCATGGCTCTTTCCTGGTAAGAAATATATTTTGCTGTGGATCTTCATATGTCACTGGTGAGACGAAGGGAAGCGCGCATTACTGAAGGGTGTCCACCATGAAGGATGGCAATAGGAAATAATCTAAAACAACTCGACGCAGAACAAATCTGTGCATTACATGGTCAACAAAACTGTACACAAAAGGCAAGTTAATATCTGCTCCGGGCTTTCCAGCATCTCCTGCTCCAAGAAAGAACGAAGCCTGACCGATGTCTCCGATATTTTGATCCTCTAACCATTATGTACACAACGCAACGAAGAGGCCCGGTGTCCAGAAACATAAATGTTAAAATCACCAGAGATGAACTGTTACTTTGCTAATTTGATGTCTGGATGAGAAACTCGTTAAAATGAAACGCATTGAAACGGACGTATGACCAGACTCCCTATACATGAACATCACATTTTACTATGTGTAACATGGTAAAACGTGATATTCAAATATAAAGAGTCAGGTCATTCGCCATCAACCTAGCCTCAATGGAATTGTTAAATGCAAATATAGAGAATAACTTATTAAAAAACGAAAAATAGTGTTTCACTGCAACATCGGAACATACTCAAAAGAATACAATATCCAGGAAAGACATGAATAATGTATAATGTAACACTTGAATACAAAGAAAGAAATATAAGTATAGAATAAGTATAGAGCACGTTCAATATCAAAATAGATGAGAAGAGGGTAAAAATCACAAGGTAAATATATTGAGGGAGTGGTAAACAACTCTTCTTGTTTATATTTACTCATAACTGCTACGTATGACAAAAACTGCTCTGATAGTTCGTGCTCGCATTTCTCGACAAGAAGTGTGCTTTAGGTAAACAAAGTGACCATAGACTTCACCGACGCCCTTGACACCAGCAACATAACTTTCTAAAATAGCTGCTGGTATCCAGTTTCTGTAAACTTCATCCGATTTGAGGGAACGAACCACCTTGCTGTTCACTAGCCAAAAAAGAGAAAAGGAACAAATCCTCAAGTACAGAGATTTATCATGAAGGACACCATGAAAGTGTGGAAATAAACCGAAGTAGGAAAAGGTGAAAATAATGAGAAAGGTAGTAGAGCATGTACGTGAATGTAGAGATATGCGATCAACACGTGAGTTCGACCACAAGCCAACGATCGAGCAAAACGGCATGCAGACGAGGAATAAGCCAAGAAACATGAAAAACAGCAACAGAGAAATTTTGCTCCTATAAACGACTACAAGAGTGTGGTGGACAACCAAGATCTAGATGAGTCATGCAACAAAACGAAACAAGACCATTATGCAAAGTGTGGTGAACATACGATCAACTAAAGCACACGAGTCTGAAGAGGTACTGTATCAAGGATGGGCTTGTACGCCTTCGAAATAAGAACGTAGAACCCAGGGACTACGATTGGTCAGCGGCTACGAAATTATAGCAGAAGACAGGAAAGTTGCGTATACCAGTGGAAGACATGAATGCAGGACAAATGAGTAGCTGACTTTGGGAAAACAGAAAACGCTCACTCCGAGACCGGGAACGGATATCTATGCTACAAGGAGCAATGAAAGAAGCATAAAACGTTCAGTAAGAAGGAGTGTATGTAAAAGTACACCTTGAGAGAAAAAGGTGAGTAGGTACTCCAAGGAACTTTCCCAATTAACATGAGAGGTACTATTGAAATGATCTTGAGCACAACCTGTTAATGTCCCCCGACCCTCACAAATAAAAGATTGGGGGATGAACGACTGAAAGGTGCCTGGAATTGTGAAAGAAATAAAACCTTTCTCTGTGCTCTCTATACAAACGTATAGCTTGAGACTTTTTACACGATCTTCTTGATCTTCCCCAGAACTACCCAAAGATGAGGAGGTCCAAACAAGACCTTCTAAAATCATGTGCCCAGCTGATTTAATAGCTTTGTGTGTTCACGAGCGAACATGTAAGCGACTTGGCACATCTCTACAGATCCAATGACTGCGTTCTAAACTAGACTTTTCCTAAAAGTTTCAAACAGAGCTTACGTCCTCATTTGACAACATCCTGATCTTCCAAGATTCATGTGCCTAAAAAATTGGTGCATTAACCCTTCCATTTTAACCATTGGAGTCCACATCTCAGCACATATCAGGATTCGACTGAGGAATCTCCTCCACCTTTCATTCTTCAGAAGACAAGACACTGCCAAGCGGCAACTGAGATAGAGGAGCGACAACAACTCAAAAAGGAGTATCAGTGCTAAAAAAGATGCCGCGGAATATAATAACACTAAATTGCAAATGCATGGCGGTAGTTGGCAGTCTGAAAACATGTACCCATCTCTATTCTACTCAACTGGTTCCTTGACTAAGGAACTACCGATTGAAAAGGTCATTCTAGAAAAAAGAGGTGAAGCTTTTGTTACAGAATTGTTAACCTCATTTATGGAAGACAACAGAGAATGGAATATGAACCAATTAGCCGATTATTCCTCCGAATTTTCTGATGACGATCTTGGGGCCATCTCGGGGACAACTCCAACACATTCGTCGTCACTGCTGGCCAGCTCCTGGTCCTGCAATGACAGGACAACCAGTAAGAATTGACGAGACATTCCCAGTATATGTAAGTTATGCTGCACTAGATAGATTCGACTCCAGCGTTTACACTGTACCCAAAAAAAAAAAAAAAAGCCTGTTCTATCTTTCGAATGAAATGAGTACATAGCTGCGATTGTAATTATGGAATATGTGTGCTCAAACTCCGTCAAACAATTTTGATGTCCAGCAGTACTCAACATGTCAACATTTGCGCTGCTTGCTTTGGACAAGGATCAGACGTCGTATTTGATCTCTAATTGTGAATGAACCTCAAAAAACTGAATCAGACTGACGATTACAGAAGACCACAAGATGAGAATATTCTAGAGGTAGATACCTTGCTGGTATGTGCCAATTGCTGTAAATGTGCTGGCCTTGTGTTCAGATCTATCATCCGCGACACCCGACGATTCGTGGGTGACTGCAAATCCTCGTCACCTACGGCAATGGCTACGGCAGGTGCATTGCTGTTATTCCATTCTCCACTTGTGACAGGTTTGGTCTTGTCCTGTTGTCCTTCATGGTGATGGTGATGATGATGGTGGTGGTGGTGGTGATGGTGAATGTGTTCGTTTCCATCCTTGGATTTCTTCCCGTCCTTTGTTGCACCGTCTTTCACTGCTGCAAGATCATCCTGGCGTGGCTTCGTGGGTAACTGTAGGCAGTTGTCACGACTAAAAAATGAGTTTGTGACTGAGATTTCAACTTCACCTCAACATAAACATCTGTCCGTAACATGTCAGGCCAGCGAGTCTCAGGTCCTTGTCCTCGAACTACAATATGTTCGTTCATACGAACATACGCGCCTTCTTATCTTTAGCTAAATAATTTTCAGAGCTCGATCGGAACAAAACAACATTCACATCATAAATTATCAACACACAATGGTACTTACTATATGAACTCCACGTCCCAAAACATACGTACAAGTTTATCAGAGTGATCTTCAAATTTATTTCAATGGTTTATCGAGTTCATTTCTAATCAAGTTCGTTTCAAATCCCTTTGCACTATACATGAACTAAACTTTGAATAATAAAGAACAATTTCAGACAACACAACGAGCGAAGTAACATTCGCGTCCACTTCTTAGACGAACAAGCAGGTATAATTGAAATCAACTCAAATTACGAACCTCAACGCGTTGCCCCATCAACAAATAGCGTTCGTGGGTCTTTTTTCCCCCGATGTGCACATCCATGTCGCATTGTAGGCATAACGAGGTACCATCAATGCCACAAAAAAAAAAGGCTGCACAACAATGGAACGGGCAATAATCAACCTAATTGAACCCTAACAGTATCTCCGATGAGATAACACTGTCTGACTGGACCTTCGAGTTTCCAAAAATCCGATGTCTTAAATGTACTACAAGTATCACACGTGAGATCTAACTGACAACTACAAGCACAAATAGTTTCGTGGAAGAAATGAGGCCGAGGTGGCACATTCTGTGAAGGAAAGTTTAGTGTACCGGGGGCGTTCTCGCAGATGTCACAGCGTGGCACTGCCCGCGCTTCGGCGAGCTCCAGCCGCACGTGTCTACTGGCCAATTTGTTGCATCCATGTACCTACATGTAGAGATGACCATAAACTGATAAGTTTGTCAATTGACTTAGAAGAGTCGTCTAGTTCTGGCCGATGTCCGTAACCACTACTCTGAAGCTTGATGCCGGGAGAGAACGCTCTCAATCCCAAGTCGCAAGTGGCCAAAAAAAAGCTGGTAGTGACCGCCCCGCCGGACATGAGATATTTATTTATTTCCTTCTACGCTGCCGGCAAGGATTGCACGTTGTGCGACATGGTGGACTCACTCACTTCTCAAACTATTTTAGAGACTATGCTCATGGCTACAGTCTACACACCGGTGGCCGACGAGCAGTAGCTGGTCACGAACGGAATAAACCGTTCGTTCCTGAGCAGAAGCACTGAGGGACAATTTCGACGATGGCTAATGCCCTGACATTCATTGAAGAAAGGGCGTTCTTTCGACAACGCGAGGGATTTGCCAACACAACGTCGTGACCAGTGTAAAATTCTGTCCTAGAGGAGAAAACGAAGAACTGTTAGTACTCCAACCCAGCCTAAGCTTCGAGTCCACCATTGTGGGAAAGCACTTCCTATCCAGATGAAGTCTCCTCCTTAGACCCGGAGTTAAAGTTTCCTCGAGAGGCCAGACCAGCAGGTACTGACGTCGGACTATCACCTTGTCACAATCCTTGATTCGTAGCGTGGATCGACCAGAACACGCCCGTACAGGCAATGTCAATTTCCACGAAAAATAGGATGATCAAAATTCTGCCAGAGAGTTGAACAAAGAACTATGCAGAAGAAACAATGTCCGCGAGAAGGTACCTTCTCATCACATGTCAAGCACAGTGCAGCCTCGTCGGCGGCACAAAAAAGTCGCGCGGGCGCTGCCTCGCAAACATCACAAAGAGTCCGCATCTGCGTCTATGGGTTTCTGCTATCCACTCCAAAACAATTTGAACTTTCCGCCAACTATCCCTTGATCTGTTCCTCTACGGTCGCACTCCCAAACTCCTGCACCCCAAAATTCGAGCTACTCCTCCCGGTGACAGCTATCAGACGTCTCACACCGTGATACATTGACATTCTGCGCAAGGTCCGTTTCCTAATTGTCCTCGATTTCTACCAACCTATGCTGAGCAAACACCTTCCTGCTTCCTGCCTCCCACGAACTCGCAGAGCGCTTCAAGCAGCAAGAGCATGCGACCATCCAGATTCTACAAACTGCCGTTTCTCGTGTTCGGTTGCTTCCAGTCAGACTCTGGCCGCCTCGAAGTGTGCACCAACCTCCTGTGAAGAAACATCAACGATTCAAGCAACGAAACCGTCAGGAATCGCGAACCACACCAACGAACGAACACATTCTTGGTCACTCGAGCAGAAAACACACAAGGTCCAAGATCGCAGGACTCGCGCAGGCACTAGCGCGGAAGACTGAGCTGCAGTGCTCGTGAACGATCGCACCGCAAGATGCCTCCGCTGGGAAACAGGAGGTGGGACGAAGGGAACCACTTCCTGCACAACTCACGGGAAGCGCGACACTTCTCCTCCTCCACCTCCACCTCGACAAACCGTGTCCGGAATTTCTGTTGCCATGCTCTGATCGAACGAAGCGGGACCGTTGTGGGCTGTAGAAAGAATAATAATACCATGCGGTGGCAGCCACTCTCTCGTGTTTCCCGGCGAGATCCCCAGGAGCTCGCTCGCTCGCACAGCACCTGAACTAGCGCGGATTTTGACGATCGATGGCCCTCTCACTCTCCTCTCCACATAAAAAATTAACGATTCCAAGACCGACGTTCCGACTCCACTCACTTGCAAACTCGACGAGCGTGAGGCGCCAACGCAATCAAGTCCGCAACATTCCTCCTCCGCCAGAAGGCAACGGACGAACAAACGAACGACAGAAATCACGTCCGGGAAAAAACAAACAAATCGCCAGTGACGACGGCCTGAACCGCGGATCGACGAGTCCCTGATTTCGGCCTTCGTTTCACACCGCGCGCGCGGATGGAATGAGCAAACTCGGACCGACGGGTTACGCCGTAATACGGAGCTGCGTTACTCCGAGCACGACCGGCGCGGATCGAACCGATGCGGCAGAGCAGCCAACGCATAGAGAGCGCGCCGCGGCTCCCTCCAGTGGCGAGAGAGTGAGAAGCCCGGGCGAAATGTGTGGCAGCTGTTCATCTGCTGACTTGAGCCGACCAATCCCGGCCTCTCGTTTGCCCTCCTTCGGCCGCAAGTTGAAGCGGTCGACCTTCTCTTATTGTTACTCCTCCTCCTCCTCCTCTTTTTAACTACGTTATCGGTGACCGACTACACCGTACCGATACCTGCATTTTGACTGTACCCTACGCATAAACATCCGATGGCTACTTTGGTTCCTCGCTTCTTGCTATCGGGCTCGACGACTTGATAGACTAATAACATTAGCTAAGGAAATATTTTCTCTTAAGCATAATATATTGTAACATCTCAAAAGGCTTCCTCAACGCATCGAGACCGTGCATAGGGTGTGAGGACCATGATCGTTCCATTTTTTTCGATATGACTCAACAAAAGTAAGGTTACCATAATTTTTGGCATGACTAATAATCCTTGAAGAGGCATCACATTATCTGAGAATTGTCCTTTGATGTTGGAGAGTATGGGCTTGTTTTGAGGCATAATCGTTTGATTTTAAATTTCTAGAGAATGCCGCCGGATGAAGTTGAGAACACGAGGTCATCATGGTTGCCAAGTTGGACTTCAGTCAGTACGTGACTGTGGTTTGTATAGCTAGGATCCGCATGAGTGCTACTGTGAGACGACATACAGGCAGGCATGTCGACGGGTCAATGGAGACAACACGGAGATTTTCCAGGCTGCCCGGCAAAATCTGAAGCAACAGAAACATTGCGCCACGTGGCGCAAAGCAGCAGGATATATGGGAGCCACAAGTTGCGTACTTAAGGCGCAGCCTCAGTCATAGATTTGTACACGTGGACCGAACGGTACGGCACGGCTGGATTGTTGTCCGTTGCTAAGCAGCCTCGCTACGTCAACGGCGATGACGGTCTAGTCGCCCCATGTTCTTCTGCAATGTATAAAAGCCCTCCATTATCCAACTTCATCGGATTGAGTAATCTTGGTTTCAAGGTTTGTCAAGCTTAAAGTTAGTCACGGTTTCCGTGTGAGCAATTATTAAGTCAACATCGCTTTGAATCACTTTAGACCTATGTTGTATTGGAACTACAGCAGTACCTCATACTTGTGCCATACTTATCCCAGACAGTACCTAAATCTCTGCCGTGTATATCTCATTCTGTTCCTTCACTGTTCACTCAAGGTGGATCACAGGTCACCATGGTGTCGATCACAAAGAAATTGGCTAACAGAAAATGCTCTCTATATCTTCGTCTCATAGCCAGAATAGTTAAGTGGATCTTTCACTGGTAGCCAATTGTTATTGTTGTTAAGAAAAGATGTTACATCATTTTGCAGTAGGGAGTAAGAGTCCGGCGTTTGTAGGGTTTAGGGTTGGATAATTTGACGTGAAAAAAATATCATTTCATCAATATTTGTATTTGTAACAACACAAAAGACACATCTAGACTTTGATTGATCGTTTTGGGCCGTGGAAAAATGTTGAATATATTTTGTAAGGGTATGTTTAGACATATAACATCATGTTCACAATTAATCTATGGTTCTTTTGATTATTGGTTCATTAGATCACATACCAACCAATCTCATTAATGTATAATCGTGGATTTGATTTTCTTACTTCCACTTTATGTCACATTATAAAATATGTTTTTCATAAAGAGATGATTACTAATTGTAAAACTTCAGGCAGAAAATTGGGTTACAATACATGAAAAATCTATACATTCAACATAATTAACAATCAGTTTGCAAGAATGAAGTATCATTTAGAATGTTTTAACAAGTGTGTTTTTCCATATGGAGATGAGATCACATTAATGCTGTCATTTTTCTGAAACTAAGTTAAGCATACTACATTTCTAACATAAATTTTAAAGCGGTATTCAACCTTTGATACTCTTTGTGTCACTCAAAATAACAATCAAATACACTTTACAATATAAATCCAACAGCACTACAACTTTTGGATATCTTGTCGTATAATCATACAGGGATAATATATCCATTACTTGATAAACAAATTAAAAAAATTTAGAGTTGCATGTATACATAATGTAAAACGGGGAGAAGAGAAAAATATATATAAAAATTGAATTATAATATATGAATTCCTCATAAAACTGAAAAGCTTGAAGTTCAAAATTAATCATAAATTGCACTATTGATGCAACTTTGAAAATTTCATTTTCCAAGGTCTTTTAACGATCGAGGCTATAATTCATCCTTTGATATATTTTTTAACTTATCGAGAGCGCATGTGTTCGTTTTTCACCAACAAAAAATTTGATGTATGAATTCCAATATATTTCATATTGATGTATGTTTTACTATGTGTACACCACTTCGGTGCTTTTCATGACACTTCTAGTGCAGTATGGTTTTGTTAGTATCTCACAAGCCGTGTACACATAGTAAATCATGAAATTACAATATCCGCACACTGTAAAATTTATAAAATAAACGACAGATAATTCGACTTTTAGCACAAATGAGCACTGGATGTATTGCTAATGGAAATGTTTCTATTTGGTTACAATTATGGTGACCATCGTTTATCATGCACGTGACAAGGTGAAACAGGTGAGCAAAAGTAGACATCGAACGAGAATTAGAAAGAAGTGAAACCAGATCAATTTTGGCAAACATTTAGTCTGCTTTTGGATGTGTTCATTTGTCGGGAAACATTAGATTTCAGATCTGGCTAAACTCGGTTGGAGTATCTCCAGTCAAGACCTACGATAGAGAAGATATTTCTTCTTTTGTCCTCTCTTAATTGGTCGTGGTCCTGGTTGCAGGATACAAACTACTTTGTTTGAAGCAATCTTGGTCTCTGGGCACACCAATTACTCCAACGAGGTAACTCGTTTTCCTTCAGACAAGCCAAGGACATTGATGTTCACATGGATTATTACTAATTCATCGTGTTCTTATCCACATTGATATCATCACTTCAAATCATATTGCGTTATAAGGAAGCATAAAACTTCTGACAGACATGAGTTTGCAAACCCGAAACATTCCAGGATTGCATAGATTTAGTGCAAAATGTTGACACTTCGAAGATATCGATCGGTCGCAGCTATTATATTGAAATATCAAAGAATTATCCACAGAGACGAGAAAAAATCTCATCAAGCATTGAACAATCTGACGCACTGGAACGTGACAAACTGAGATATAAATTCAATCTTCAAGATTGAAGATTGGATATTCGGTTTTACATCCTGCAGTTGTTTCACCGAAGACTCAGTGCCTGGATTCAGATCAGCTTTCATCGCAGTGTGTAGGAAGAGTGCTATCACAATCATCATCAAGGATCGGTGCTATCACAATGTTCATGATGACGCGAACGCAACATGCAGCGCAGTGCGAACGAAGAGACAAAGCAGGAAAACTCCAAAACCAAGAAAACGAATCCACGACGCCGAGTCAACCGTCTGATGCAACACATTGAGAATTTGGGAGTGAGAAGGAAGAGGGCGAGCAGGCCCATTTGCACCAGAGCCACTACAACCATGAGAATGTTCAGGCATGGGGAGATGTGGACCTCAAAACCCTAAGAGAACCCGAGAAACACAAAGAATCTCGCATGCCATGCAATCAGAGAACTCGAAGGCACAGTGAGTCAGAGAGTCAGTGGCCTTTGTGGTCCTCGAGAGCCGATCGAAACTGCTCCCATACCGAAAGAATCTCGGTCGAATCTCCGACCCTCTGCTCCTCTCGTTTACGTACTTTCGTAAAGCGGCAACGCGCTAGACGTTGCTTCACGTCAGGCTGGCGGGCCCCGTCGACGAGGTTCCCACATGGGGGAAACTCTCCGTCCGACCTCCAGCGGTGACCACGTAATTCGGCCCCCGGTTCTGATTGTGTCTGCGACCCATACGCCGTATTATTGCTTTCACAGTGCACTGACTGGCCGCCACGAGGACATATGATTTGCCAACGCCTTAGCAGTCGCAGTCAGCCGGCTCCAGAGCCCGTAGTGTCGACATGGGGCCGAGTTGGACTGTACCGCGTCGATCGGTGAACCCCGGCCCTTTGTATGAGAAGATCGACCGGTTGTTCCTTTCGGGGTCATTCATGTGAACGAGAAATCGTTATATTTATTATGGTAAATATCGTTTTCTTACGAAAGGACTCGAATAAATAAAAGTGGAGAAGTGTTGCTACGATACTGACGAAGGTTTTCCACATGCAGATTTTGGATTTACTGCTTGCTTTTATACGATGATAAAGTGTAATTCTGATTTTAATTAGGCCCACAGTTCAACGAATATTTCAAATATGCAAACATTGTGAGAGTCTGTGAGTGCATAATTTATGTAATAAGTCCTTCGAAAGACGATTTATATTGGATATGAGAATATATTAAATATATCATTATTATTATTAGCGTCAGATGAGATTTAAATTTCACGACTGCAGTGGAACATTGATGATCTCAGTACAATCTGCACCTGAAATATGAAGATTCAAAGAAATTTAACGCATACGGCGAACTCGATTACAAAATAGATCCTTAGAATAAAGACGCTTACATTCGATTTACATATCACATATCATTTGTACATTCCATGGACACATCTTGATTATCACGAGATCTATAAAGATAAGGTTTGCAGTGATTGCTGTAACTTTATTGGGAGAGAATTATGTGTTCAAAATAAAGAAAATTATTTAACACATCACGTATAAAAAAATTCAAACAAATATCTCACTTAATGAAAACTGACTTAAAATTATGATATGCTTCACTCCCTTTACGAGCAGTATGGATGGACATTTTGGATAGGCTGATAGCATTATGTTTGCGAATAAATGAATATTATTCCTTATAGAGACAGCATGAATTTTTTGAAAATATTGTAGACCCTCTTCAAAGATAAAGTACTATTTATGTATACATAAAATAATTTTCTTATAGATTATTATGCAATCATTTGCTTATACTATACAAGGAAGCCACATAGAAAGAAAAAACTCGTAAAGATTTTATTTTATGATAAAATATAGATTGTCCAATATGAAATCATGAAAATACACCTTACCGCAGACTATGGCAGATTTTCGAGTATTCTCTCATACACATATGAAACGCTTTCAAATTTTTTTGGATCCTAAGAGATATTTTACATTTAAAAACGGTATTTTAAGTGCATCTTCAGACATTGTGATCCATTCGTACCTAACCCATCCTACCTTGTTCTTCCCATCCCTTTATAGTTCAAGGGTATTCACATCCTGTATTGTGTATCCATTGCACTCGCTACAGGGAAAGGATTTAGACGATCGTCAACATCGTAATTCTCATTCGAGAGCACATCTCTGCCGGTGGTGCTTTGAGAGGCAAGGCCAGAGAAAAGAACGAAGAAGCGTGTACGCTACAGAAGAAGGCAAGCCTCCGAATCTACCCACACGAGTTGGTCCAAACCGTACCGTCACCCGACAGGCATGGCCTCGACGCCCAGCCAGACAAGACAAGTCAGATGCCCTAAAACCTCCAGCTTCCGGCATGACGGTGTTCCGGTAACCTGCTCCGGTGCACAGAAGAAAGCCCTGTACCGTCGAGGATCGGGACCGGCCGGAACGGAGGATCGGAGGAGGAGGTGGGACCCGGCCCAGAGGACGTCGGCGAATCGGGAGGCGCCATGCCGCCGGGCAGCGGACGTACATGCGGGATCCGCACCAGGACAAAGAAGAGACCGACGGTCGCCACTGGTTGCGCGAAGACTGAAGTTGTGGTCCAAAGCTGCTCGGTGCGAGTGCAGGGACCCTGGGGGCCTCAGAGCCACAAGTCCGCCGGATACAGCCAGACCGGTCCGCAATGGTACACATGTGGATGGATCGGATCAACATGCTCGCATACCAGATATTTAGCCGCGATTGGGTCAACATGATTGCGTACTAGATATTTAGCCCCCGTTGGGCACAACTCCTTTGTTTACTGTTTCTGCTCCTCCGCGCAATTAAATATCCGATTCGATATCCCTGTCTCCGGTGGGAATCCGGGATCCCGTTCGAGATTCATCCATCTCATCTCCAGATACTTTCCCCGCTGCGGTCGGGCGCAGCTTCAGGCCCGTGATTCAATGTCACCGGATTTAATTATACCATTATATACTCCGCAGAGTAATGTTCCGGATTTTATATAATGTCGCATAATTTATTTCCCCGCACGCTTCCTGTCAGGGCCGCTGAACTAGCCTCATGGTACATGGTCGGTATGATCTCACCAGACCTTATTTTAGTCGTCGAGGTCGTGGCTCCCCATTGGTAGTTTGTGGCCATTGGCTGCCGTATCTTGTCGGAACTCGGAATCCAACTCGGCCTTTGCCCACAAGCCCGGTGAGATTAGCTGAACCCGGGGGCCTCTGTCGGTCTTAGACGGACGGCGACGGTCGGATGGACGGACTCTGACAGTTTCGGTTTCCGTGGACAGCCTTCAAGGGCGGGCGGGGCTTGAGTCTCGAGGCCTCTCGTCGGCCTGATCGAGAGAAGTCGGAGCACGCAGGCTCAGGATTTGGATTCGGCACATGCGCGCTCGGCCCGCTTTCTGTCCAGAGGCTGTACTGGCGCATCTGCTCGATGCGAGCTCGCAGCGTCGAGCGGGAGGGAGGCGTGTGTGACAGGAAGCCTGATTGGCCTGATGTCAGAGTTGGGAGTCGTGTGTGTTCACGGATTTGAGATGAGTACGGTGCTCCAGAGTCGGTGAAGAAGTTTCGATGGTCGGCCTGCACACTTCTGAGCTTGTTCCGCAGTCGCCGAAGCTGGGAAGTGACCCTCTGTGGCTATTGCGAGGAGCGAGATTGCGTCGGAGGATTGATTGAGTTCGAGGACGATGCAAGGTCAGAGAAGAGGGTCGGGGATTTCGAGGCTGTCCGCAATCTGCCGCTTTGTGCTGCATTTGTGAACGCCTTTGTCAACAGGTCTGATCGAAGCATCGAGATGCTTGAATTGCATCTGGTTGAAAGTAATTATGTGTTCCGCAGATTTAGATCAGCCATATCTCGTTAGGCTGCAAGTCACATCTTCGGCGTCACGCAGTCAGCTGCGTGAGAACGTGTGGAGTGAGCCTCTATAATATAACGACACGGAAACCCGATGGAGACAAGGTTTGGTACAATTCTTCCCGAACGCCGCGGCTCCCAGTATTGAGCACTACTGGGACCCCGTGCCTCATAGTTGTGGCAGCCCTGATTGCCAGTGTAGCGTTCCTCTTCACGGATGTGACGCTGGCAATTAGGGCTGCGCCAGGCGAGATGCAATGCTTTTCAGCTTCGAAGACGTAGTATCCTTTCCCCGTCGAGGAATCCTGATTCTACTTTCGGCTGGATGCGCCCAATATTGGCAAAATTTTTCGATACCTCTCCACGTTTGTCCTTCTGTCCTGATGATCAGGCCGCACTAGGCAAGATATGACCGTCTTTATCGCAGGCCGCTGATCCGATTTGTAAAGGTTTTATCCCTGAGTAGAGCTTCCCTTCACCTGGTAAGAGACCAGGTAAACCTCGGTAGAGCTTGGCATACATGATCGAGATCAAAGGTCTCTTACCCTTCTCGTCGATCGCACTTGTTAAAAGAGCGATTATTATATAATCACAACACACTACCACAACAAACAACAAGGTCCCCACGTTCGATACGTGCAGTCGAATTTAGGAGCATTAGCGCCTGTGTTGTGAGAGTACAAATGCTCGAGACGAATGGTCGGTTCGTGCAGGTCCTAGAAGCACAGGAAAACCTTGTGAGGACTGTATGTAGGCGTTTAATTTCGAGTAGTCAGTGGAGATTAGGGAGACTACTTCTCCAACACAATGTGGAGACTTTGTGGAGACTGACCTTCGCTTGAGTGAGTTCTCTGAACTCGCTACAGTCGATCAGTCGCTGCGTCACAATGTACATCAGTTGGACCTCCAAGACGATGTAGAGATTGCTTGAGAGCAATTCTTCCTTGAAGGACACTTTTGCGCACGTTGCCAGTTTTGTTAAAAAGTAAGACTTTTTGCCATGCACAGTCTGTTCATAGCAGTTACCATCATCATTCTAGATGTTTAGTAAAGCCACTGTAATGGCTTCACCTACGTACGTAACACGTTCAGCCATATCTTCTACTGATTTCATTTCGAGTTCAAAGAAACGACCCGAGAATCGAGAATATGAGGGTATGAGATGTTTCTTTCCAGGATAATCAAAATAATCAAACCGGAAACTATAATCGACAACGTAGCTCACTCTTCTGTGATGACTCAAATCTCTGGCAAGAACTTCAAGCGTTAATAGCTTTGTGTCACCAAAAGGTGAAAAGACTTTACACCATGGACAATTTTAGAAACTTCTGCCATCACGTCACTCTCTTTAAAAGTCCTTCCAAGTGTGATGCCGAATTCCCCAACTAGATAACAGGAGCACACACCGAGAACTGCTGCTACCTACACTTGAGGGAGATACAGCAAGACCAAAGTTTGGCCTGAATCTTTGCATCACTCACCGATGCTTCTCGTAAATACAGCTCAAATCAGTTCTGCGATGCCACTATAAAGAGGTAATTCACCTCGAGTGGAAGTTGCAATCTAAAGTTGGAGTCAAGGCAAGCAGTGCGAGTAGTAAAGGATCATCGATGATCCAGACAGACCGTCGGGAGAAGATAACAATAACAAGATGCGAAGATTCCTCTGGCCTTGACGACGGAATACCAAGAAGTGGTCCACTTTTTCGACGCAAACTACTTTGATAGTTGTTCTTGTTGCGGTTGCACCTGCAATTTCAAAACGGGCGGCTTTCAGACGCTGGATTCAGCCTAATCTTCAAAACGGGCATCAACACGATTCGACCTTAAAGGAACAAAATTTCAACAAGACTTAATTTTAAAATGTTGACCACATCTAATTCTGGGATTCTAACCATAACTCACCATTTTCTCAGGAGTAGGTTCCACTGCGCAAGCTTTTAAAACAGCCTCAACCTGCAGCAGTAGAAAATCAAAAGTTAAACACTCACGGCCTCCAGTGTATGAGAGGTCACATTGCAGAGTCTTGGATGTGTATTGACTAGATGCAATCGCCTTTTCATGGAACCGCCGACGATCTTACACAGCCGACGTTCTCATCAAACTTGTTAACATTTCCGAGAAATAGGATAGTGCAGAACTTTCAATCGCAGTCTGCAACTGAAATGAGAAGACAAGTATGATCTTACTCTTCCTAGAGTAGTAACTTTAGGAAGAGTAAGAGTACTCTGGATGTTGGTGCAGCTCAACTGGCGATAAAAAGTAACGGTAGCTTATGCAAGACATTAGACATTTGGCGAATCGGTGCAATCATCACATTTTAATGATGACCAGATTCCTACTCCATGACTCTTTGATCCATTATGTAATGCAGTCCCAATTCTTGTCTCCATGACAGAAGATTTTCTCTCCCACACCAGAACGATTACACCAAATGTATTTAATTATAATAAACAGAAGGAATGAAAACAAAAACAAGTACATGTTCTTTATCCTGAACTGTTGAACTTAATCATCCTCGAAGACAACTGAAGGGTTCAAACGATCCGTGGTGACACAATAGGGTTCACGTAGTCTACATACATTGCAGCTATAAATTAGGGTTCATATGTGTTCATTTGCGATGTAACACAGAGTAAGAATTTTGAAGGTACGAGAAATTCATTCATAATCTCGCGAAGAGTGACACCGATAAGTGGCTCTCTGTCTTACCATCAAGATAGATCAATGTCATAACAGGTCTAAACTCGTGATCGGTCCAATGTGTAAATCATGCCATGTGTGCGGTGATGATCACTCAAGAAAGAAGGACAGGAACAGTGTCATCGATGAGAACTTGGATAACCCACACGAAAAGTGCATTCCAGAGTTACAACCTATATCACAGGTATTTGCATCGAGAAAAGAACCGGATTCACAGTGATCGCGATGGAAGAAAAAACCTGTGAAAGTCGAACGTGGCGTTTCTTCGCGTTGGCCCTCCGTGTGTGATTCATGGGCCAATTTTTCCACACCAGCCCACCTGTTCTTTTAATCACGACTTCCATCCTCCGGGTTGCAGCGAAAAACACCATCTCGATCCAATTCTTCACTCTGTAAAGAGCCGCTCGTGTTTCCTCAACTTGCAATCCACGCTTTTGTCATCAGTGGCCTCTTCAATTTCTCACTATCCATGGAACGAGGTCCGGAGCTCGGGATGCCTCCCGAAATCTTCGGGCGTATGCCGCTATTTCGGGTTCTTGACGGGGATTTCATAGCATCAATTGTATTCAACTCATTCCGCATTTTGAAATATTTACGTGAGAACTGCATCTTCTGGATCCATACATAATATTTAATTTACTCTATATGTGAAGATGAGTAACTAATATTATATTTTAAAACTAAATTTCATGTGTGAAATTATTATGTAAATATATAATAAAAACACATAACCACTATATATATATAAATAAAGTTTGTATACATTAATTTCATTTTATGTCATTTGTGAGATATTAAATATATGAGAAAAAACATAAGCATATCAAATTTTACAAGGATTAAACCAGAAAGAGCATTGGGGCTACTTTTCAAGAGAATCATGATATACAAAGTATAGAAGATCAAATCTAAGATATAAGAATAACTTAGATCAAAATACCTGTCCATTTCTAATGAGCATATAAATAAACATGCGCTTACTAATTATTTCACTATGGAGAGGATACATTATACACATTATAGAGCAAGGTCTATACGTTGATTAGAAAAATTTGAAATAAGAGTTTATTGAAAATAAACTCTTAGTTTAAAGTAGTAAAGAGTTTAGATTGCTCTATAGCGCCACACTTGGATACATTGAATGTTGTGGTTTTATTCTCTACTCTATCCCGTTGTATATGTGATCATCCATTCACAAAACAAGAACATTAGAGTCTACAAAAATGAACTCTCTACATAATCTTTAACATCTCGGATTTTGAAATTTCACTCTTTCTACATCTAGAGGATGAATGATCATACCATCTATTATCCCAAATCAGATAGTGAATTGCCTTAACCTTCTTTAATTCAAGACGTCATCACTCTGAACTATATACTTTTACTGCCGTTATAAACATCACATCAATATTGTCATGATTAGTCATACAATAAGCGTTGTATCATATTTGATGTATGATTATCTAACGCATGAAACTATCTTAGTTTAAAAACATAACATGCAAAATGTATGCATACTTGAGTAAGAAGATGTATAAATATCAAGTTTTATCAGGATAAGATATAGATCTGATCATTCTACGAGTTCAAATCCTTAATATATGATAGATGTAAGATTCATGTGATATTATACTTGCTTGAATAAGAATATAACTGATTGCTAGTATTACCATGCATTTTAGGTTATATACTAGAAATTAAAATAAGTTGAAACGGTTGGTATTAAAGTACTCAAAGTCAATTTTTGATAAAAAAACAACATGATATCTTATCCAACATGTACATCATGCTTTACCATATGATGTACTTTGTATCGTCATTGCATGTTAAATAATAGCACAAGTCACAACCGTGAAGTTGAATCTAAAAAATTAATACTGTTTTATTTCACATATGAAAAATCATATAAAAAAGATAAGAATTTTTTGAAAAAAAAATTTCTGTGAAAATTTTCAACATCATTATTTGAAGAGTAATCATTTTTTTCTAATATTCACATGATATAATTCATTGAATTTTTTATTATATTTGAAATAAAAAGGAATGTTAGTTTAGTTTATTTTATTTTGAAATAATATTGTGCTATGCAATAAATTCTTTAGGTACTTAATTTGTACAATATAACATAATAATGTATTATATAAAATAAATTTGAAGTTGATTTTTTAACAAATAATGAGAATGATGTACAATATCTATTGTACATACTCCCACTTAAGTACGCATTTTATTACAAAAGTTTTAGGGATCAACATTCTAAGGTATTCCACTATAAGATATTGTAAATCGTCATTTGACCCATGTTTTGATCTTTTTAACGTCTCGCTTTGAGTACTATTGCTCGGACCTTTGGCTTGAAATTCTTCAAATTTTTTTTAATATCATCGAATGAATCTTTAAACTCTATTTGAACATTAGAGCGCAGCAACTGATCTCAATGTCAACTATCTACTTATACAAAGTATCAAATCCATGAAACTCAACTCTATCTTGTAAGTCTACAATCTACTATGGTAAATTAACATCGTTGTCTTCATCACGATCTGCTTCATTTATCTTCATTGAATTCAATAATTTTTTGACATCTTCCAACATTGATGCGGCATATTCTTCATTGCTTTCGTCTTCAATGTGAACAAATTCTTCCAAATGTGATCAATCAATCGATAAATTTAAGTTTTTGTTGGTTTGGGCTAACAATCACATTAATTTTGTCCTTAGTGGTTCTGGTTTCAAATTCATGAGCTCTATGCTACAGAATGCAATCTTCATAGAGCTTAACAAAAGAGAATCACATGCTTCTTTTACATAGCTTGCAGCATCCAACAGATGAGTTGGGCATTCATAAAAAAACTCATGTTGCATCTCCTCGTAATCATTTTTCAAATTTTTTTTTCCACTGCTTCAACTCGTCATCAAGCTCGTAGAAGTCAAGGATATCCTTGAGATACATATATTTGTATCGTTTCTTGAGAGCGACAATGATTCCCATATCACAAAGTTGTTTCCAACTGGTACAGTTTGGAGTAAAAAATACTACACGGGTGTTGTCGGGTTCAAAGACATTGAAGTGTTCTAGCGTATTATCCATCAGCAAGAGAACGAGACGTCATGTTTGTTCTCTAATTTTTGGAACAAAGACTTTGTTGAACCATCTCCAAAAGGTTTTCACATCCTTCCAGACCTTCACTTGATTAAAATAAAAAATTGATCACTGTCAATCTTTGATACATGCTGGATTTTTTTAACATTCTAAACATTAGGCAAGGATTTTTATGTGTTTCAGATGTGTTGGCGCAAACTATTAAAAAACAAAATATTTTTTTTACCTTTAGTGCTTAGAATGTCTTCGTTCGACATACGAATAAAATATATGGGAAGCAGACAAAAGAACAATCCAATATCGTCCATGTTGTATACGTTATCAGGGTTATATTGAACGATGATGAGCGCTAATTCTTCTAAGACTAATAGTAATCCTGGGTCATTATTGTCAACCTCAGCTCTTTCTCCATGAAGAAGCATTTTCTGTAGACCTCCGTGTCCTGAAACGACTAGATTCTTTGCCATGGAGCTTTTAAATCTGAATCAAAAATGTATAACGTAGAAGCAACACCTTTTGCTTTTGCAATGACTAAAGATGGCGGCACATGAAGCTTGGCACGACGCATGCTGTCAATCCAGATGTACATTATATCTTCAAGTTTGGAAAATTGCCCAACTGAAGCTCTGAAAGTATTTTGATTTGCTTCTCAAGGAGTAAGCACGATCGTTTCAGAATGAAATTGCATTTCTTCCAGACCTTCCGTATAGCGTCTTTGCTTCGAGAGTTCTTCTTTTTTGATTCTGAAATGATCTCGTAATGTTGGACCTCATTCAGATGCTTGCTGGTCAATTGCTTCGACATTGAAACAATACGCAAAGAATTTGGAAATGAAGATGTTAAGTATGCACCTACTAGATAAGTACACACACAATTTTAGGATTCAACGTGCGTACTTAAGTGAGAAACTACAGTATTAACAATTTTCATCAGAATAGTGTTGTACTAATGTAGTGTTGAGCTGAACGAAGCCCTATATGACATACATATTATATTTTTAGTTCTCCAAAAACAGTTGCTAAAATAATCTTGTCATCACTAGCCAAGTTATATTTTTTCGATCTGATAAAACTCAAACAGGGTGATAGGATTAAAGGATGGTTTGCAATTATGACATGAAAATATAAGAAAGAGCTGTTTAAAGACTAACAGATGCTATTGACGTAGATTCACTCATACCAATTGTTGTAATTTTTTTGTAAGAACACCGAGAACATAAACACACACAAAAACGCATACACAAATATACACTTGGAACACGACACATAATTAAGTGGTTTGTCACTGCCACACTTTATCCACCATAGCAACATAAAAAATTTTTCCGATGAAAACACTTCGATATTCAAAAAAACTTTGGCTAAATTTTTTTTATATTGAGCAACAAACCTAAATCCTAACTAGGATTTAGCTACTTGAGTTAAAATAGATTTGAGTTGATACAAAAACATTTATTTGATATGCAAATGAAGTGAAAATTAAAAATTATAAAATTATGTAGCAAAAAAGTTTGTGAAATAGCTTTGGTTTTATTATGAGCCTAGATTAATAAAAAAAAGCAGATATTTCATACGCCTTATATTAATAAAAATAAATCATCACTCAAGTATGTTATGAGGAAAAGATTGATTATTATGTCATGTGACAAGAGAAGTATAAAGTACAAATACACTCTTGAGAATTAATAAGGAAAAAATATTTGTTGATGAAAACCATAATGTTACATCAAATAATAGCATATATAGGAATCATATACTAGAAGATCATTAAATTGTATCACTAGAGCTTTTAAGGTATGAAATATGACCTTTCGTATTTTAATTTCATGATATAAAATATGAAATTGCATTAAATAAGGAAAAATATATTTATATTTACGTTAATTTTTTTTAGTTTCTATCAATAAGTTTGAAATAAGTATCATTTTAGAGGTTGAAAATAAACAGATTGATGACAAGACTTAAAAGCTAGTTGAAATTTCAAATTATCAATCTTTGATTGATAGCAAGTGAATATACTACTTGAAGTAAAATTGAATGACAAGAAAAAAAAAATTAAGTCAAATTGATGACTAAAGATTTCACACAAGAGTAAAATGTTTAATCAAATATGGATTATAAAAGAATAAATGTTTAGTAGAAAAATGTGGATTATAATTAAGTTATTTCATCTTTTACAAATTATATTACTATCAAACTTGTGTGTGCGCTTGCCGTAATATTTGAAATAACTAAAAATTAGATGATCATTGTCACAAAAATATTCCGAAATTTTTGAAGAAAAAATCTACATAAAATAATCAAGTAATTTTTTTAAGAAAGGGAAAAAAATTAATTGTCAGAGAGAAAATTAATCATCATGAGATTATTTTAAATCATTATATGAATTAGAACAATATTATAGACAATGAAATGCAAGATTTAATAAATTTTTGAAATTACAAGGATCTTCACTGAATGTCTGTAGATAGAAAATTAGTACTAAATTTTTAGAACATATTCTAATATATTAAATGAATGTATTTTTTATGTATTTTTATTTGAACAATGCGAGGTTGATGTATGCAATATTAAATCAATATCTACATTTGATGGAAACCGTTTGAATAAACTTAATTTAAAAGATATGTAATTTAATGAAAGCAAGTAAATTTTATTTCTTCTTTATGTATTTAACACTAAAAGTTAGAATTTTTACTATTTTTTGGTAACATATTTCAAATTTTGATCATTACAATGTCTACATAATAAAACTGAGAAATTTTTTTGGGTTAAATTTTTTTTTATATATAAGTGAATATGATGATATGCATTAAATATGATATTGCTTCAGCTGTGTACAAGATGAATAGTTACATGAAATTTTTTTCAAAAACTGTATTGCAAAATGTTAAAAGATTTACACATTTGATGATATGCATTAAATTTAAAATAACTTTACTTATAATGAATTAATTAATGAAAAATCTACTATATATGCATTGAAATGCAATAAAATATATAATATGTTATCTCTAGTTATTGAAGATTATATTTTATTTGATGATTTATTGGAAAATAATTTATGTTAGATTATGTTAATGAAAATTATGATCAAAATTTTTATTTCAAAAAAAATTACAATTAAACATACAATTTCACTTGGAGATGAATGCATTCATTAAAAATTTATTTTGCAAAAATGCATAGGTAAATCAATTCTTGAAGTTAAGTCCCTAACTACAACTTTCGGGGCGGGCTCCGAATCACATATGTTCGAGAGATAACATATCTCTCGATCACTACTCTTTATTTACAACGTGAATCTTATCACATTTCACCTTCCTTTGGAGTAATTCGCAATTTTTCGGCAGTTGAGTGTGACAGAAGACCCGTACGTCAAAACGTAAATCACGATAAGCACAATCGTAAAATAATTGGTCGACCGTATTTGCCTTCTTTGATCTTTGACAACGCGGCACACCTCAACGTCTAGACGAGGACGACAGGAAGTCAGTCGAGCACGAGGATGAGAGCCTTGTGACAATGGAGTCGCTCGAAGCAGATCAGATGGAATCAGGCGTGGACATGGAGCAAATTGATCTTCCCGAGCCGAGTACAAGAGCTGAAAAGTTACAAGTGAGGAGAAAATGTCGAGCGCCGCCTTCAACTCCGTTGCAAGTGGACGACATGCAGATCGACGAGAAGATGATTCCTTCGACATCGCGGATCTCCACCGAAGGATCTTCCAAAGAGATGGGAGTGTCTGCAGCTCCGGAGCCAATGAAAGGGCTCGTGGAAGAGGAGGAGAAGCAGGTTATGGAATTTGTTGAAGTTTTGATTCGCACCGAAAACATGAAGATGCCTCCTGCTTCTGCTCACCCCCCTCCTTCGAAGGGGGAGAGGGAGGACGAGAAGCATCCAATTTTCATTGACTTGGATCGTCTAGAGGAAGTGGACATGGAGAGACATGTGGTTTCGAGTAGAGTTAGGTCTAAAACGATAATACCTGACGGTCCCTCATCTTCTCGTTCTGGAGTTCTTCGAGATGATTTATTCATACGGAAGGAAGGAGGAGTAGGTCCAAGCTCGGACCCAGAATCGTGTCGTGACAGGAGGAATACGGATTATGGGTCCACCAGCTCCAAGGATATTGATCCCCGATGGAGGAGGGGCTTTTCTGCAAAGAATCGAAGTGAGCATGAGGCACGGACAACGAGGGAAGAGGTAAAGCAGGTAGTTCTTCCAACAGGACCACAACCAAAAACACAATTTGGAGAGGAATCACCGTCGGCTAGATCCTTCTCACAGAAGCAAAAAGAAGTGAAAACCAAAGGTAACCAGGGTCCAGTTGGTATGAAGAGACCTCGTGGACGACCGAAGAAAAACCTTAGCCAAAAGCCGCAAACTAGGCGCACGGCACAACGTACTTCACGAGGAAGAAGGAGGAGAAAAGGAACTCCATCCACTTCCAGTGAATCAGAAGACGAAGACTCGGAGGATGAGGACGTTGCTGAGGGTGTGATAGCAGCTTCGTTGGGATTTCCCAAGGACAGTTTATCAGAAGAAGAGAAGAAACTAGGATTCTTCTTTTCCATACCCAACTTCAAAGAATCTGAATATGTAGTTGTTAGAAATCATATTCTTGCGAAGTGGAGAGAAAATGTGAGTTGTTGGTTGACCATGGCAACGGTGATGGACAGTATTCAAGGTCAGTTCCTACATGTTGCAAATGTTGCATATAATTATCTCTCAACTTTCGGTTATATCAATTTCGGAGTAGCTCCGGTTATCAACTCCCACATTCCTGATGAGGCAACCCATGCAAGAGTGATTGTCATAGGAGCGGGATTGGCTGGGCTGGCAGCTGCGAGACAACTTAAGGCTTTTGGCCATGATGTTGTGGTTTTGGAAGCAAGAAAACGGCCCGGGGGTAGAGTTCTCACCCACACAATGAGGGGCGGTGATCTCACTGCTCCTGCTGATCTAGGAGGAAGCGTTCTCACAGGACTTCAGGGGAATCCATTGGGTGTCTTAGCACGCCAACTAGGCTTATATCAGAAGTCGATCAAAGACCATTGTCCTCTTTATCATCCTCAAGGCAACCCAGTAGACCCGGATATGGACCAAAAGGTGGAAAGATATTTCAATGAGCTTCTGGACAGGGCTAGCAAATGGAGAAGAGAGGTATCAGCTGTTTCTGAATATATGTCTTTAGGATCGACCTTGGAGACTCTAAGAGGTCTAGGGAATTTCACACTAAACAGCGAAGAATCACAGATACTTGATTGGCACTTTGCAAATTTAGAATTCTCGAATGCTGCTCTACTGTCAGATCTTTCGCTTGCGTATTGGGATCAGGATGATGCGTACGAGATGGGCGGTGACCATTGTTTCCTTAACGGTGGTAACGTGGAGCTGATAAACGCCTTAGCTGCTGGACTTCCAATATTTTACGACACTAAAGTGGAGTTAGTATCCTATGGGAGCGGACAGGTTCTTGTCAGAGCAGGCCAAAATCTATTCCAAGGTGAATTTGCTTTGTGCACGGTCCCACTGGGGATACTGAAACGAGATCTCATACAGTTCGAACCGCAGCTACCGAAGTCGAAGCTGCTTGCAATTGAACGACTAGGATATGGTTTGTTGAACAAAATTGCAATGTTATTTCCCTATGCATTCTGGGGTGAAGCACTCGACGTTTTTGGGCATGTCGGAGCTCATCGATCCAACCGAGGAGAATATTTTCTGTTCTACAGTTACGCTGGTGTTTCAGGGTCACCTCTTCTTATCGCTCTGGTGGCTGGAGAGGCTGCTGTTTCGTTTGAGCACACGAACGCAGTTGAGAATACTGCAAGGCTGGTGACCATTCTCCGAGGTTTGTTGCATTCTATTCCTTCAAACTTGATAGTTTAAAAGCTTAATAGAGCAAACGTACGTATAGACTTCTATCCAGGGAAGATTGGAGCAAAATATATCCAAGATATTTTCCTCTCTTTTTTGACTTGTAAGAAGGGAAACACATATAATGAATGATACGTAGATAAATTTTATGAGAACTGAAAAGGATCGTCAACGGGATGAGTTTAACTATTACACGTTTCTTTCAGAGGGGGACTGAACAATCACTTGAGTAAGTCTGAAGGTCACTCGTCATATTTACACGTAAGCCTGAAACTTAGAAGCATTCAAAGGTAGGCTGAAGAATGAAATTTCCTAGGACAATTGCTGTACTGTAGAAATGAAATCCTTGAATTAGGATCTCTACCTCGAGGACGTAATCTTTTGATTTTCCTTCCAAGGAAAATAGTTGAAACAAAAGACAAATCTACACTTTCCATTCGCTTCAAATAACCGACTCGATAGATTGTAGAAACGGGAGCTGAAAGATGTTCAATGTGACTACACCAAGACGTTGGCCGTGAAGTACAGAACACGTAAACTTTCTACAAGTTAAGTTTCGATACGTTACAAACATATACGTCAAAATCCTGAACAGAAGTGACACTTGCCATACTAAACTCTCGGTGCATTTGTTATAATATAAGCCATTGCTCCTTTCACATGTGACGTTATAAGACTGTCTTCTAAATATGGACAGTTTGAATTTTTTTCTCCATCCATTGCTTGATCGAATATGTACGTGACTAAGTTCTCTTGTACTTACTGTTTATTCATAGATGGTAGATGGCAGGATGTTGACTATATTACTTTAGATCGACCTTATTCAGCATTCGAGGTTTACAGTCAAATTCTAAGTACACATCTCATATATTTTTTTTTTTGTGTTAGCCAACTGCGAGTTGGATGTCAATGTCACATCGTATTAATGTCTATTTTTGCAGAAACTCTCGTCTATGAGACATTTTACGAGCTTTTGGAAATGTGCAGACATATTCGAGCCACAAGGAGTCCCCGTTCCAGATCCTCTACAGGTGGTTTGCACCAGGTGGGGCAAAGACCAGTTCGCGTTGGGCTCATATTCGAACATAGCAGTAGGATCGTCGGGAAAAGATTACGATATTCTTGCCGAAAGTGTCGGGCAAGGACGCCTTTTCTTCGCTGGTGAGGCCACAAGCCGTTACTACCCTGCTACGATGCACGGAGCCTTCCTTAGTGGACTAAGAGAAGCAGGCAACATCTCTGTCTTGGCGGGATCTAGTGGGATCAAGTCACCCACCGTGAAGAGAGAATCACAATCTCCTCTCGTGTCAAGAGCTCATGCAATTGCTGAGATCTTTAAGAAACCTGACTTGGAGTTTGGTTGCTTCTCTGTTGTCTATGATAAGAAGACGGGACCCGACTCTCACGCTCTGCTGAAAATAAATCTCAACGGAAAGAAGACGGGGCTCGATGAAGATTTGGATGTTCCGATTGCCCGCTTAAAAAAAAGTTGCTTGCCAACTGGTAAGGTAAACGAGGAGGATGGCATTGGTGGCATTGAGCACAAAACAGTTCATGTGTATGCTACGCTTACCAGGAAGCAATGCCTGGAATTAATGGAGGTAAGGGGAGGTGATGCGCATCGCTTGAAATATCTCCTTGACGTATTACAAGTCAAGTTAGTGGGAAGGAAGGACTTGGGAGAAGCAGCAGAGAAGGTTGTGTATTCTGGGCTCTTACACTCCCTTCTGATCCCTTCATGAGGAAATATATCGTGCATAGGAGAGTTTACCGAACATTACATAAGTGCGTCTAGCACCTAGGCCAAGATGCAGTGTCTTTAAAACCTAAAGAGGGAAGTCCAGCCATATTGACTGATTATCTGACATACTTGGCTGTAGATTCGAGCTAGAATGCGTGCATGAAACCTGATGGTGTTCAATCACCTTTTTGGCATGTGTTCAATAATAATATGACAATGATTGTATCAACGCAGTCATTTTGACGCTGTCCCGATATATGGTTAATAACTGCTACCTTCTATGTGCAATAAGATGCTTTCGGTCGTTATTGCGCCAAGTGAGTTGATAATTGGCAATGTTAAGTCAGACGATGGATTTATTGATTTCGATCTAATCGAAACATGCAGTGCTTTGAACTTTCGTTTATATTAAGGCATTTGTAACAAAAACTTGCCTATGAAATATATTGAAAAATTCTTGACGAAGAATTGTGTCGGAATGATTTGAATCAGTCTAGTAAAGAGTTTCAGGTGTATTTGAGGAGATACTGAACGTGAGGAACTTGGTGATAGAGCCTTATGAGGTGGGTGGTTCAAACATCTGTACAATCTAATACGACTTCGCTTCAATGCAAATAATCGATATTGAAGGCCATGTCAGTCCACATGGCCTTCTATATAAAAGGCCATGAGGACTGCCACTGTGCGCTTGCAATTAAGTTGACAGATCACGAAAAATGACATGAGACAATACCTTCGTCGTTGTGAAACTCCAGCAGGTTTAGTGTATTCATTGCATACGGATAAGGAGTGCTGCCTGCTTAGTCATTTCAAAGGAATCACTCAATCGAAAACTAAATCTGTATTTTAGTTTACGGTAACGAAGCTAAATCAATGGCTAATTCAATTTAATACAGGCAGGCAGATTAATTCATAAGCTTGAATGCTCATGTTCACAACTGGCTTTAGTTTTACAGTCAAGGTCTGCGAATTCCACATGTAGCTGGACTCCGTGGCCGAGCTCATACATTCGAGCATATGTACAGGCATGTATCAAGTCGTACCGGGAATCACGAATCCCAGTATCACAAGATTGAGCTGGTGCAAGATGTTTGCGCTATGCTCGTGTCCATGACAATGAGGAGGCTGCAGCTGTTGGGGATCGTTAATAATGTCGGTACAGCAGCTCGGTTGAATACTCTTCAAAGTGCCCTCGGCAGTTTCTCAAACAACTTTCCGGATCAGCAGACGGTAGAATGGGAGCCTCTCCGAACAGACGCTGGATAATCTGGCGGGACGAAGGGCGAGCATTCGAGTCCGGATTCGCACAGAGCAGACCGAGCAACAACATCTGTCGCATCTCGGAGACTCGAAACTTGCCCGCGAGCAGAGGGTCGGCTGCGCGCAGAAGATCGCCTTCACGAAAACACCTCCAAACCCACTTGACGAGAATCATCTCGTTCTCGGGAAATCGAGTGTCGATGGCTCGTCGGCCAGTGGCAGTCTCGAGAAGAACGATCCCGAACGCGTACACGTCGCTCTTGGCGGTGTACTTGCCGAGAATGGCCGCCTCCGGAGCCAGGTAGCCTTCGGTGCCCACGACCTTGGTCGAAGACAGCAGCTTCTGATGCTCCCCTGTCACTGCGAGGCCGAAATCGCCGAGCTTCGCCTCGAACAGCGAGTCGAGCAGAATGTTGCTGGATTTGATGTCGCGGTGCAGGACCTGCTTCGACCAGCCTTCGTGCAGGTAGTGGAGGGCCGCAGCCACGCCCGCGACGATCCTCTTGCGTCGCGGCCACAAGAGGACGTCGCGGCGCGGGCCGAAGAGGACCTTGTCGAGGCTGCCGTTGGGCATGTACTCGTAGACGAGCATGTAGGCGCCGCGGTGGTCGCACCAGCCCAGCAGCTGCACCACGTGGCGGTGCCGGATCTGCGTGATGGCCGCGACCTCCGAGAGGAACTCCTCCTCGCCCTGAGGCGACTGCTCTTTCAGCCGCTTTATGGCCACCAGCGCCTGCGTCCGCGGCATGACCCCGCGGTACACCTCGCCGAACCCGCCTTCTCCCAGTCGGAATTCCTCGCTGAATCCGCCCGTCGCGTCCTCCAATTCTTGGAAGCTGTACGTCGTCGGGATGTGGGAGTTCAGCTCCTGCTGCGCCAACGTTGTCGCGCTCATGACGCGCCGCCTTCTCAGCGCGACTGTCATCACCAATACCGAAACGACGAGTATCGAGGCGCAGACGCTCGCGACGATCACCACGGTCCGGAAGACCGACCTGTAAGGTTCTGGCCCGCGGGCCCGGCCCGCCGGGCCCGCGGGCCAGAAGCTGCTGAAATTCCAAGATTTGACGACGTACGAGCTCGCTCGAGATCCAGTGCCGGCCGAAAGCCCGACCCAGAACGACTCCGCCGAGACGAAAACCGAAGTCAGGTTCACGACGGTATTCAGCAACGCCTTCTTAGGTTTGGCAGGCAGACTGTCGGCGCACACGACGAGCTTCCCGGACGCGCCGTCGTAGTCGATCCACACCGAGCACAGGCCGTTCTCGAAGCGGCACGTGTTGAAGAGGGGCGCCGAGACCTTGGACTTGCTGCTGCCGATGTCCAGACCGACGTGCGGCGTCGGGGTGTCATATTCCCAGTTTTGATACGTGTCGAACTCCACCGCCACGACCGTCGTGTTCGGGTCCCAGTACCCTTCTGGGAACACCCCGAAGTTCGCGCCGTAGGCGCCCGACACGACGGTGTTGTCCGTGATGAAGAAGGTCAGCCCGTCGCCGGGTTCCTGGTGAGCAAGGCCTTTTGGGCCTTGCTTACCCTCAGCCTTGGTCTCGAACGTGAAGCTGGTGTTGAAGGATGCGACCGCCGATACCCGGTGGTCGGTCATCCCGACGGGGGTGCTGTACATGGCGACGCCGCTCGTCCAGAACAGCGTCTCCCTCGGCCCGGAGATGAGGGACAGCTGCCCGGATTGGCCGTCGGTGGTGGCATTGCCCAGGCAGAGCACGTTGTCCTGGCACCGGAACCCGTCCGCCCCCTGGTCCAGGGAGAAAGAGAGCGCCTGGCCGCCCAGAAAGACGGAGAGGAGGAGCAGAAGGATAAGGCCCAGCGCAGTCGAAGTCGCAGTCGGACCCATAGGCGATGAGAGGAGCGCGACGCTCGTCGGATCCGCAGCGCGCATTCACGGCCCGATTTCGACGAGCTCCTCGAGCTGCACGATCCTCAAGTCCGCCGTGGCGCCTCGCCCGTGGGATTTGCCGACCGCTGGCGTCCCCCGCATGGCGCACCTGCGCGGCTCAGACTCTGCTGGCATCCCAAACGCTCGAGGTCCGAATTCGGAGCTGCGCTCGCAGGCAGCTCAGCCGATCATCGCCCACAGCAGCAGCTCAGAGTGCCTCCCCTTCCATCCTTCGGCCGCTCCTTGTTCGCCTCTAACGGCCCAGTCGCCCTTGAATCTAAATCGCTCTCGAATCGAATCGCCCTTGAATCTCGATCCTGGTCGCGAGGAGTGGCAGCAGCAGCGGGAGGAGGAGGAGGAGGCGGCGGCGGCGAGCCAAGTACGTAAAAATTGCAGCTGCGCAGCCCGAGAGTCGAGAGGTGGATCGCAGCCGCAGTCAGGTGGCGATGGAGACCTGCAATGGCGTCGTGGGAGCAATCAGATGAAATTTCTCGGCTCCGTGTTTATCACTCGACGGGGTCCTCGCGTTCGATGGAACGCATTCGTTGACGGGCCCGATGTCAAACCTTCAACAGGCAGCGGAAGTGGCGGAGACTTTGAAACGATCCCGGGTGCGAGTTCGTCAACTCATGGATTGCTTGAAAAATCGGAATTGTGGACATCGAGCGTTGGCATGGATCGGACGCTTCGCTCGCATGGCGATTTCACCCGCCCGGTCGCACGGTCACTCTTCTACCTGAAATCCTCGAATTCCTCGTCGCCACTCCGGGAATCGAGGCTCCAGTGAAAAGGCCAGTTCGTTGGTTCGATGCTTTGACGCGCCATGCATTTCGTGAGATTGCCCGGAGAAGTACAGTCCCCTGCTGCTGAACTGCAGAACTGTTGGTGAAGCTAGTGGGACGAAAAGAGGACAGGAACACGAGGTGGAAGTGGACTACTGCTGCTGTTCGGAGCTCGTTGGCAGGGACAACAGTTGCAGTATCGCGGCGCAGGTAATCACTCGCTTCCGTCCACAATCCTTGACAAATTTGCACGAATACGGGTCTCAAGATGGACCCCTGAAATGATGGAAGCGAATTTACCGATTCCTAGTCGTTCCCATACTGAACTTCAACAGCCGAGAAAATCTGGGATAAATACATCATTCTCAATAGATTCTAATAATCGGCGGACCACTTTTTTTTCTTTATCAAATGTCAATTGCGACCGAAACTGCTACGTTCGGAAATTCGTAGAGGGTCAAGCCAAAATTATGCGAAATCTATACTGTCGAGATTTCTGAGGTTTCGAGCATGCATGCAGTACGTGACGTTTCTCTGCGGGGCCTACTGGCAGCCGCGCAAGTCAAGCTTCAAGCTGTAGTCAATAGTTAATGCGTGTCCTGAACTCAACGTGGTCAACTGAACATGAAGGAGCTTCCATTCAATCTCCTTTCGCTGTCATATGTAGCACTATTCTGTACCCCTAACAGATGATCGTGGAAATTGTGGCTTGCTTTCACATTTTGTATATCTAAGTCCTTGTCTGTAGCAGCACATACGAGCTTCTGCAACAGATCTTTCAAATGGACTTCGAGACATGTCACTACATAATTATATACAATTTTGTTGTCAGTCTTGGAGATCTGGAGGATAGGCTTCAAACTGACTTTCAAGAGACAACGTGTGCAGTATTCTATGTTTGACACAGTTTTTTAGAAAAACATTCTTGCCAAGACATGAGGAAACCCTTGTAAACACCCACAGGGACAGAGTATTCAAAGTCAAGCTCGGTTATTCCAGGGATTCTATATTTCCATCAATGTGAACGTGGATGGTGTAGCATACCAAATATGACAATTGCCCTTGACCGCAACACAAGCTTTTCACAATTGTATCTACTTTGACGGTAATTATTCTGTCCTTCTATAATTACAAGTAGTATGAGCTAATTAATTTTATTATTTCTACTTTAAAAGATTATGTAAATATATATTTATTTAATCATTTATATACTGTTTTTTCCACCTTGAATATGTAACATCAATGTGAAGAAAATATATATTAATCCATAGGAACTTATTGCCAACTAAAGAAAGTCATTGTTTATTGCCATCATCCAGTGAACTCAGATCCATATCACTATACTCACAGAGAAAAGAATATTGACAAATTTTTCTTCGGATAAATCGTTAGCATATGCTCAACGTTCTCCAGCCTTAATTCTAGTGGGAACTATTAACGATTGATTCATGGAAACTATTCACAGTTTCCATGACCACGTTTGAGAGTACGTGATAAAATGATGCGTCACAACAAAGTTCCACAACTCCACATGGCGTTGCTAGCTTGACTGCGGTAGGTCGTCGATACAAATAGAGATACTGCTGGATGGAGTGAGAAGTTGCTTTCATGTTGATGGAGTGAGAGCTCCATAAGTCCACATGTACTGACACACATGCAGTCAACAAAGCTCATCGCTTCTAAATACGAAGAGTTGGGTTTGAGTTGTACATTTTTCTCGATTCCATTATCTAGAATCAGATTGTGTGTATGATTTTATCCATCCTCCGGCTGTCATCCCCCAAACGCTCATGGACATTCCATTGAGTACAGTCAGTCAATCGAAGGGTGCTGCTTGTTCATTACATGATGCAGAAAGAAAGTAAGAAGTTCTAAGTCAGTTTTCCCGGAAGAAACTGGCCCATTAGCTCAGTTGATTAGAGCGTCGTGCTAGGAACGCGAAAATCACAGGTTCGAGACCTGTATTGAGATTCCCCTAATTACGAGAGCCAGGTTTTGGCCGCAACGATTGCCGTCCCGGGGTTACTACCGCCGCTCGTTCCGCCAAATGCTCTGGGGACGGTAGCTTCGGCAGATCCAAGTTGCAACAGGACAAATCAATTGTCAGTTAACGACTTCAGACCCGGGTCTGAAATCCGTAATCAGCATGTAATGCGAGTTGGATCTGAACTCTGATACAAGTACCTTGCTAGACATTTACGCATGCCAGACAAAGTGGCCCATAAGCTCAGCCCGTTAGAGCGTCGTGCTTCAAACGCGGAGGAGCAGGATCGATTCCTGGGTGGGCCCTCTAAGCTCAGCTTCTTCCCCTAGACCATATTACGGTGATAGTGTTTAGGACAAACTATTACCCCGGGAGGGCAATAATATTATCCTCCCGTAGCTGTACATTCCGCGTTCGGGGATGTACATACCCGTCCGCCGAGAATTCTGCTTGGCGATTGGAGGAGAAAAGACGGCAGAGCGCCACGTCGCGGACTCCGAGGGCCGATCTCGTGGGGTAGTTAGGTGCGTGGGAACGGCGGTCGATCCGACTCTCCGCCAGCCGCTTGCCTGCCACGAATGGCTAACAGTGTCCTCACAGAAATTTGTCGATCAGACATCAAAAGATATAGTGATTTGCAAGGTCAATATGTCAAAAAGTTGGATACACAAAGTTCATATTTAAACATAAATTCATATATTGAAATATAAAATAAGTAAAAGTATAATAGGATCTAAAGATTTCATCACATCATCCATCGTGATCACAAGATTTTTATCATTTGCTAAAAAGAACAGGCAATTTGATTTAGTTAAAATTTTATAGAATAAAATTTTACAGTAAGCTATGACAATTATATATTTAATTTAATATCTCATTGTTTCATATAATGTCTATTGTTTCGTCTAGCATGTTACTTGCTAATAGATTGTGATAGATAGATCTCCCATCATATATTTAATTTAATATTTCATTTAATTTAATATTTCATTGTCCCATATAATACCTAAACCCTAAGATAGCCAATCATATATTTAATTTAATAACTCATTGTCCCATATAATGCCTATTGCTTCGTCTAGCATGTTACTTGCTAATAGAGTGTCATAGATAAATGGCCGGTCCGGGCGGAGGGATTATTCTCCACTCGCCCAAATGACTGGATTGTCATGGCTCATATTGCAAGCTTTACTTCCTTCATATACCCTGATATGGCTGGAATCCAATCTTGGACAGCGTGACTTGATGCGTACTCAACGACTGCAGGCCTGAAGTAAACAACATTCTGTCAACTGCTGGCACTCGTTGCTGAACATTGCCGTGGAAGCTTGCGTTGCATGTCTGAATACAGGTGACAATGTCGGAAAGTACACGGTCTCCAGTTCTCCATTAACATCGAGGCTTATGATCTCGGAACATATATTCCTGATTCTATTGGATTAATTTAGTTCATAATCTGAAGGTGAAGGCAATTAAGATAGCAAGATGATTGCTTGACGAGCTTTCAAGGTGCAATCTGGAATAGATTGGTCCCGCCTCCGCCCAGAATACGGCAATCTGTCGAAACACCAGTGGCTAAGGTCAGGAATTCCTTACTCGGCCCCCGTCCTCGACCTGGCATCTGATCCCCCTTCAGCCTTCTCAGTGGGCATGGTACCATCAGCATTCAGATCAAGATTTTCCGGACTGAAATAGTACAACGCCCCAATATTGAGCTCTTTGCTTACATCCTTTTGCCAAAACATATTAACAACTGAAGAAATTGCAGACAGGTCCGGGAGTCTTGCCCTCTCATTTGCCATCAACGAGTTAAGAATTGGCAGTGTGTCATCCCCAACGAAGCTCATAATCTTGGAAAATCGGGCGAACCTCGCAAGGATTCATCCAGTCCAAAGTCCGGGCCGTTAATACCAGACTGAAGTCAAGGTCTCAGACCTCGTACATCTCCTCGATAATTGCGACGCCGCTTTCAAACCCCGTCATCTTTCTCGTCGCAAACTGCCGGGCGTTCCTTAACAGCGAGCAGCGAGATTGACACGATCATGTGTCTGACCACTTCGAAGTAACGAGAAATGGTCACGAGGCTTCCTGGTCCCTGATTCAGACTACTGCGAGCAAAGCCGGTCCTCACCCTCCACTTCGTGAGGACTGCAGGAATCGATTCTGGACCCACGAGAGTCTGCTCGTCGTTCGAATCTGGCGATTCGAACGACGAGCATTCTCAAAACTGGACGACCAAATTGGCTTTTATATCACAGACGATCTTCATTGACATCCGCGTAGGGATGCTCACGGCTCGGCTAACGGCTAGCCGGCTAATATCTTTTGTTAGCTGGCTAGCCGTCGGCTTACCGGGCCACTGCAGATCGGCCGCTATCCGAAAACTCGGACCGAGTCTGAGTTTTCAGCCGATTATTTCGTCCATTCGGCCGAAATTATCCCCATTAACACTTATTTCGGCAAATGGCGTTTCGGCCCATAACCGATTAGCCCACGGCTAGCCGGCTAAATTTGAGCCCCTAGCCGGCTAGCCGGTTGTATCGTCTAGCCGGCTACGTGACCATGCCTACATTGGCGGCTCATGTTACGCCCGCAAGGAGACAAAGCATCTTTTGGAGTCCAAACCCACGTGGAAAGATAGGATGTCCGGACGCTCGATTTTCAACTTCCACGTAGCCGCGCCTGGGTTCGACTCCTGCCTCCGCAATGCAGTTTATTAATTCTCAAGATAACTCAACATCGTTATTCATCTGCAAGGCCAATCCACATCACAGGGCGTTGGGATTCCATCAACAAGTTTTTCACAACTGGAATCCAATATTGACGAGTAAAGCAGTGGACATTGGCGTAGAGAGCATTTAAGTACCAAAGCCGACTTTAAAGCACATGACGTGGGTACTCTTTAGTGATGGACAACATCAGAAGCACATGACATGTCAGATGAGTTTTAAGTGCACCAAGAATTTAAAAAAGTCCTACATTCCATTCAAAGCTGTCGTGTCCTTGGAGTGAAACTCTCTATGACTATAATGTGTCTACGATATATAGATGTTTTAGCTCTATACATTTATTTTGAAAACTAAATTCTAAATTTCTCTAAGATATGGTATTTGAGAATTATTTTGAACTTTGACCAATTTATACTAAATTAAAATTTATTTCTTATATTCCATCGATTTATCAACCAATCTTAATCTCTTGATTTGACCTTGATAATGATGTTCCTCCGTAAAAAATTGAAAATAAATATTCCTAATATGAAAAATCGGAAATTAATTTCGACTAATTTAAGTGTAAAGAAATTTTCTATTTATAAAAAATCTCCGATTTTATTTCCAAATAAATAAATAAATAAAACTGCATTAAAAAGTATTTGACTGCGCGGATGACATCATGGACTTTCTACTTTTTGTTAATTTTGTTTGTGAATGGTTCATTTTCTTAAGGGAAATTCATCTTAAATCATTTTACAATTCGAGTATGTGTATGTGTATATATATGCTGTAATATCCATTTAAATTTTATTATTTCATTCTTCAAATTTTGTGTAAATTTTCACTTTAGACGGCTAACATGATTTTAAATATATAAACTTAGAATATAATTATAATTTTCCAAAATGGTAGTTTATGTAGGATAAAATTACTTACGTTGCGATACCAGAATTTCATGTCGAAAACTATAAGGCTCGTAGCATACAATCGATGCGGAGAACTTAATAACAGTGTACAAATTTTAAGCGTTGGCCAAGAGCTTGAGTTTGGTAGACATTGCAATAGATTAGTGTCAGAATACGTGACATGGACGGAAAGTCGATTCACAGTTCTGTCCTCGAAGATTCGTTGTGATCACGTACCTGTAGACAAGCAATGATAACCGCAATCACGAAAACAATTTCCTAAGATGTCATTTTGTAATATTTTTACTATAACGTTATGAACTTCACAGGTAGAACGTACTGTGCTAATAATACACGTTATCAACTTGTATAGCTAATGTTCGTTCTTCGTAGCGGCTTCTCATCATATATGACTAAAGATGTCATTGTCCAACTATTTGCGAACAAAAACTGAAAGAATAGTTCGTTCAAAAGCTTTTAACAACATAGATAGAAGCTAAATTCTAGGTTTGAAGTACCCTAGCAACTGTGTTGTCTCAAGCAGGTACCGTTCTCTGATAGTCTATAGGTTTTTTTTCTTGACCTTTATTCTCAGGAAATTATAAACGTTCTCAGATGAAACATGTTTTCAATTTCCCTCATCACTCCTCCTTTACTTGTGAATAAATATGCGACATTATTTCCAGATGACGTGCGCTGATATTTGTCGGAATGCCCCAAACAAGTGGCTGGAGCGAGGATGCTAGTTTTGGTGGATGAAATTTTTCAGGTTTGATCACCATACATCGCTGTAGGCTTTACTTTGTGACATATTACAGCTAAAATCGTAGAGTTGAATGACACTGCTTCACCACAAAAATTCATCCACTCAAACTTTTACACCGCCATAAGTGAGGACTTTACCTCGTAGTCAGTAATATTTGTGACCATCCCAGCATGAACACATTGCAACACTACAGCTTTGGGCTTTCAGTCGATTATTTTCGCATCATAGCTATAACATATGCCACCATACAAACTGTAACACTAGTTATATCTCGTCGAACTCGCGAATCGTAATTTCAAAGTTTCGCAAAGCCAACCCCAAAACCCAGAAGACAGCGAGATGGCGAGGCCACGGGGAAAGGGCCTCAGCTACTGCGTATTCCTTAAATACCTACTCCAAGTGAGCAGCGTCGAATATTGAGCACCGCAGTAACCGTGGACCACGATCGTCGACGTGTTGGACTTCGACGTGGTAAGAGCTAGAACCAGACGTCGGGCAAAGATCGGAAATCGGATTACGCTGTTTCACGTTGGACGTCCGTCGATGTTCCGACGCGAAATTGGAAACGACGTTCATTACAGCGAGGTAGCGGAAACGAAATTAATATCGGCCGTGATAGTCTTTAAATACCGGCAGAAATCTTTAAAATTCATGTCCTCCTAGAGGACAGTACCTCGCTCGTGGAGGTCGAGTTAGTTCGTGGTGCCGGTGGCGCGGCTCGAAAACTCTCCACATGAAGACGTCCGGATGTACCGACATCCGTAATGGGCCGAACTGCGTCGGGAATCGGGAGGAACTCCTTCTCGCCCTGAGGCGACTGCTCTTTCAGCCGCTTTATGGCCACCAGCGCCTGCGTCCGCGGCTTGACCCCGCGGTACACCTCGCCGGACCCGCCTTCTCCCAGTCGGAAGTCCTCGCTGCATTCGCCCGTCGCGTCCTCCAATTCGTGGAAGCTGTACGTCATCGGGATGTGAGAGTTCAGCTCCTGCTGCGCCAACTTTGTCGCGCTCATGACGCGCCGCCTTCTCAGCGCGACTGTCATCACCAATCCCGAAACGACGAGTATCGAGGCCCAGACGCACGCGACGATCAGCACGGTCCGGAAGACCGACCTGTAAGGTTCTGGCCCGCGGGCCCGGCGGGCCGGGCCCGCGGGCCAGAAGCTGCTGAAATTCCAAAATTTGACGACGTACGAGCTCGCTCGAGATCCAGTGCCGGCCGAAAGCCCGACCCAGAGCGACTCCGCCGAGACGAAAACCGACGCCAGGTTCACGGTGGTATTCAGCAACGCCTTCTTAGGTTTGGCAGGCAGACTGTCGGCGCACACGACGAGCTTCCCGGACGCGCCGTCGTAGTCGATCCACACCGAGCACAGGCCGTTCTCGAAGCCGCGGCACGTGTTGAAGGAGAGCTCCGAGACCTTGGACTTGACGCTGCCGATGTCCAGACCGACGTGCGGCGTCGGGGTGTAATCATATTCCCAGTTTAGATACGTGTCGAACTCCACCGCCACGACCGTCGTGTTCGGGTCCCGGTGCCCTTCTGGATAGAACACCCCGAAGTTCGCGCCGTAGGCGCCCGACACGACGGTGTTGTCCGTGATGAAGAAGGTCAGCCCGTCGCCGGGTCCCTGGCCCTCAGCCTTGGTCTCGAACGAGAAGCTGGTGTTGAAGGATGCGACCGCCGATACCCGGTGGTCGATCATCCCGACGGGGGTGCTGTACATGGCGACGCCGCTCGTCCAGAACAGCGTCTCCCTCGGCCCGGAGATGAGGGACAGCTGCCCGGATTGGCCGTCGGTGGTGGCATTGCCCAGGCAGAGCACGTTGTCCTGGCACCGGAACCCGTCCGCCTCCTGGTCCAGGGAGAAAGAGAGCGCCTGGCCGCCCAGAAAGACGGAGAGGAGGAGCAGAAGGATAAGGCCCAGCGCAGTCGAAGTCGCAGTCGGACCCATAGGCGATGAGAGGAGCGCGACGCTCGTCGGATCCGCAGCGCGCATTCACGGCCCGATTTCGACGAGCTCCTCGAGCTGCACGATCCTCAAGTCAGCCGTGGCGCCTCGCCCGTGGGATTTGCCGACCGCTGGCGTCCCCCGCATGGCGCACCTGCGCGGCTCAGACTCTGCTGGCATCCCAAACGCTCGAGGTCCGAATTCGGAGCTGCGCTCGCAGGCAGCTCAGCCGATCATCGCCCACAGCAGCAGCTCAGAGTGCCTCCCCTTCCATCCTTCGGCCGCTCCTTGTTCGCCTCTGGCGGCCCAATCGCCCTTGAATCTCGATCCTGGTCGCGAGGAGTGGCAGCAGGAGGAGGAGGAGGAGGAGGCGGCGGCGAGCCAAGTACGTAAAAGTTGCAGCTGCGCAGCCCGAGAGTCGAGAGGTGGATCGCAGCCGCAGTCAGGTGGCGATGGAGACCTGCAATGGCGTCGTGGGAGCAATCAGATGAAATTTCTCGGCTCCGTGTTTATCACTCGACGGGGTCCCCGCGTTCGATGGATCGCATTCGTTGACGGCCCCGATGTCAAACCTTCAACAGGCAGCGGAAGTGGCGGAGACTTTGAAACGATCCCGGGTGTGAGTTCGTCAACTCATGGATTGCTTGAAAAATCGGAATTGTGGACATCGAGCGTTGGCATGGATCGGACGCTTCGCTCGCATGGCGATTTGACCCGCCCGGTCGCACGGCCACTCTTCTACCTGAGATCCTCGAATTCCTCGTCGCCACTCCGGGAATCGAGGCTCCAGTGAAAAGGCCAGTTCGTTGGTTCGATGCTTTGACGCGCCATGCATTTCGTGAGATTGCCCCGAGAGGTACAGTCCCCTGCTGCTGAACTGCAGAACTGTTGGTGAAGCTAGTGGGACGAAAGGAGGACAGGAACACGAGGTGGAAGTGGACTACTGCTGCTGTTCGGAGCTCGTTGGCAGGGACAACAGTTGCAGTATCGCGGCGCAGGTAATCACTCGCTTCCGTCCACAATCCTTGACAAATTTGCACGAATACGGGTCTCAAGATGGACCCCTGAAATGATGGAAGCGAATTCACCGATTCCTAGTCGTTCCCATACTGAACTTCAGCAGACGAGTAAATCCAGGATAAATACATCATTCCCAATAGATTCTAATAATCGGAGGACCACTTTTTTTTTATTATCAAATGTCAATTGCGACCGAAACTGCTACGTTCGGAAATTCGCAGAGGGTCAAGCCAAAATTATGGGGAAGTCTATACTGCCGAGATTTCTGAGGTTTCGAGCATGCATGCAGTACGTGACGTTCCTCTGCGGGGCCTACTGGCAGCCGCGCAAGTCAAGCTTCAAGCTGTAGTCAATAGTTAATGCGTGTCCTGAACTCAACGTGGTCAACTGAACATGAAGGAGCTTGCATTCTATCTCCTTTCGCTGTCATATGTAGCACTATTGTGTGCCCCTAACAGATGATCGTGGAAATTGTGGGTTGCTCTCACATTTTGTATATCTAAGTCCTTGTCTGTAGCAGCACATACAAGCTTTTGCACAGATCTTTCAAATGGACTTCGAGACATGTCACTACAGAATTAAATAAAATTTTGTTGTCAGTCTTGCACATAAGATCTGGAGGATAGGCTTCAAACTGACTTTCAAGAGACAACGTGTGCAGCATTCTATGTTCGACACAGTTTTTAAGAATAACATTCTTGCCAAGACATGGGGAAACCCTTGAAAACACCCACAGGGACAGAGTATTCAAAGTCAAGGTCGGTTATTTCAGGGATTCTATATCTCCATCAATGTGAACGTGGATGGTGTGGCATACCAAATATGACAATTGCCCTTGACCGCAACACAAGCTTTTCACAATTGTACGTACTTTGACTTCAATAAAACTTAACTTCTAATTATAAGCAGTGTGGTCTAATTAAATTTATTATTTCTACTTTAAAAGATCATATATATATAATTTTTCCACCTTGGATGTGTAGCATCAAAGTGAAGGGCGTATATACTAATCCATGCGAACTTAATGCCAACTAAAGGAAGTCATTTTTTATTGCTATTATCCAGTAAACTCAGATATCTGAGTTTCACTATACTGATAGAAAAAAGATTGATCACATTGTTTTTCTTCGGAAAGATCGTTAGCATATACTGAACGTTCTCCAGCCTTATTTCTAGAGGGAACTATTAACTATTAATTCATGGAAACTATTAACAGTTTTCATGAACACGTTTGAGAGTACGTGATTAAACAGTGCGTCACAACGAAGTTCCACAACTCCACGGGTCGTTGCTAGCTTGACTGCAGTAGGTCGTCGATACAAATAGCGATACTACTGGATGGAGTGGGAAGTTGCTTTCATGTTGATGGAGTCAGCTCCATAAGTCCACATGTACTGACACACGTGCAGTCAACAAATCTCATCGCTTCTAGATACGAAGAGTTGGGTTTGAGTTGTACATTTTCTCGATTCCATTATCTCGAATTGGATTGTGTATATGATTTTATCCATCCTCCGTCTGTCATCCCCAAATAGTGAAACGCTCTTGGACATTCCATTGAGTACAGTCAGTCAATCTAAGGGTGCTGCTTGTTCAGTACATGATGCAGATAGAAATCAAGAAATACTAAAACATCGAGATTTGAAGCAACCGGCCCATTAGCTCAGTTGGTTAGAGCGTCGTGCTAATAACGCGAAGGTCACAGGTTCGAGACCTGTATGGGCCAGGCCATTTATTTGGTTTCTATGTCATTATTTTGTATGTTTCCTTCAAATTATCCATTTTTCACTCCAAGGTCACTGGATTAAGTAGAAATAATCATGCAAAAAAATGCATGAGTAGTAGTTTATTTTAGTTAAATTTAGATTCTTAAGTCGTTTTATTTTTTGAAAGTTAGATAATAAAGACTTGAAGTATTTCAATTTTACCTGTTTGAATGATCAAACTCTGTTGAAATCTCCTCTATTGTTTTATAATTTAATAATTTCATCATCAATATTTTAATTTAATGTACTAAATTAATATATATATATTTAGATTTCATCTATATTTTTATTTCTACAACTTTATGTGATATAAAACAAAATCACAATTTGATAAAATATATCTTTAGAAAATAATTGGTTCGTTGATAATAGTAATCATTGATTTTCATGTCTTGAAAGTTATCATAATATGCAATTCAAAATGTATGTTGGCAAACGATGAAATTTTATATATATTTGAAATTAAAAAATTTATTACAATATTAAATTAAATTCAATCTTGAATACATTTTAACCTAGTTTAGAATGCTATACATGAATCATCTTAAAACATCATAGACATGAATCATCTTATAGTAAAATTGACTCCATCTCAAATAATAGTAAATTCTAAACCCCCGGAAGAAAAACATGATTGTTAGTTAAAATAATTCCTATTGCACTGAGTGTACTTGTTAATTTTTTATGTACAATCCTTTCAGTGAATTCTATACTTTATGAGTTGAAATTTTAATGCAAGGCCTATTGGTTGGTTAGTTTGAATTTTCAAAGTCTGAATATTTTTCTTGACAAATGAATATCTTTTTCACAAGACCCACATAGAGGAACACTCTAATGATCATGGAAAACAAAATATTAGAAAAACGTGAACTAATCTTAAATAGAAACTGTTTAAACTTATTGACATTAACCTATTTGATTTATTTTTCAAGATTGGGAAAAATTTGTTAGTATTAGAACTAAGAATTTCTATCTGGAAAACTCTTGGACTTTGGTTTGAAACAAATCAAAATGAAAATAGATATTATACAATCACGCTACTTAGAAAACACAAGACCTCAACATTGAGTGTCCAGGTCCAAACCCACCCATGGTTTTGGTGACATTACTTTTCATAAATGGAAAAAAGATTGTCATTGTTTACTTGTGGGTTTGGATGGACATAACTTACCATGGATATAGAATTTATATGTAATCATCTTCAGTTAGATTGAAATAAAGTAGAAATTATTTAAGATTGAATAGAATATATGTTATTGAAAATTCTACATAAAAAAATTTAAATAAAAGTTATTTAATATTAAGTAAAGTAGATGATAGTATGATATTTATAGTGTCATGTCAACAATTCATAGACGAGTTGAATATATTAATTAGTGTGTTAGTTAAACACGATTCGTTGATAATCCATGTGCTTGTCAAATAAAGATAATGTATGTCAATTAGTATGTTAGTTCGAGTGGCAAATCAGTAATACGAATATTTATTGGAAATGTACGCCTTATCAACTATACACTTCCATGTTTGACTTAACTATCCAAAGAAGAATAGAATCATTAAGAATATCTTCAATAGTTCTCTTCAAAAATTATAGTTTGTCTTTGAGTGAAATTCTGTCTTATGAACTTTCCATCATCGTTGAAAGGCCATTAGATTTTATTAAAAATAGATTGTTAAGATAAATAACAAATTGAAAGATACATAACAATTGCCAATTAGAGGTATCATTAATTGAATTTTATGCTTGTTAATTTTACGTTCTTTATATTAATTGATGTTTTACAATTCATTTTTTTCAGATTCAACAAGGAATTGATGTAAGTGATTAATATACATTTTCAACTGTTATATTGGTATGATTTGATTGGTTTGGGAATTAATGTTTAAAATATTTAAAAATCGAGAGAGAATATCTGTATAATATTTATTTTTCCACATTCATTTTTCATTTCTTATTTTTATGAGATAGTTTATAATAAGAAAAGTAGTAATTTTGAGATGTTCTTTTTGTTCTAAAGAGATTTTTGATTTGATTTGGGGCTATTTATATTAGTTATGTGTTTGTTCATTTATCCATTTTACATTTTTCATTGTTACACATTTTCCAAAAAAAAAAAACAATTTTAAATTGTTTGGATGTATATAATATTTATTGTATGTATATTTTATTTATTTTTATATTCTGATTTTAAAACTTTAACATCATGGCATATGAAGATTCATGCACATTTGTTTGTAAATGGAGTAGTTCTTTTTCTTCTCAAGACCACTATTTGTTATTTTCAATACACTTTCTATTACTAGAGAAATTAGAATACCATCATGCTGAGATTGTAAAAACATACCATCAGGCCAGAAAATAATAGAGTGTCGAGCTCAAGACTTTATAAGAAGACACGCAAAACATTGAAGGAGTGCGAGTCTTAGAGCAAATCTCAGCCAGAGTCAAACAAGCTCTGGATGCTCCTATCGCTTTCTCGCGAGTTGCGTTGGTCAGATCAGATGCGTACCATGTCGAACATGCTCTCGGCAATCCTAATCGCCTTCTCGCGAGCTGCCTTCTCGCGAGTTGCGTTGGTCAGCTCTGGTAAATCTGTGGAAAGCCTAGTCAGTGTTAGTCCGATCAATACACTCTGCAACGCGGCTTTTGGTTTGACGGATTAACAACCATCTGCAATGGCATCTATCCAGGTAGGTCAAGGTACGCCATACCGTCAAACAAGGTACGTCAAACGCTAAACAAGCTCTCGGCTGTCTTAACCGCATTATCGTGAATTGCCGGGGCCAGATCCCGAATGACGTCTTCGCGAGGACGGAATTTCCTGCTGTTGAATTCTGATAAGGGAACAATCGAGATGTCACGATTTCACGCTTGAGCCAGGAACTATTCTCATGTCAACAGCTTCAAAATACAGTGCAAAGGTAGCTAGTTGCTCACCTCCAGTGATACCGTTTTTGTCCTGCTGGTGGAAGAGGATGCGGGAAGAGTCGGACCAAGCTGTGAGCTTAATACGGTAAAGCTGTGGAAAACCAGGTCAATGTTAGTCCGATCGATTACACTCTGCAAGGCAGCTTTTGATTTGACGGATTAACTACCATCTGCAATGGCATCTTTCCAGGTATGGCGTACCTTGAAGTAAGGGTGGGTTCTGTCGGGAAACCGGAGAACACCAATCTCCACTAGAGTCTGCTCGTGCTTCTCACGCTTGGCCCAGAAAGTCTCAAAGGATTCAACCGCGGCACCACTTGAAGCAACGATCTTGGCAAGAATACCGATGTCAATCCTGGTTTGCTGGAGCACATCGGAGTCCCCGACGAGGGTTGTAAACCACGACTTGACCTCACGGACAATCTGCGCATCTGGGCTACCGTCGAATTTGAAGGCGCTCGAGCTTTCTTTGATCAGCTTATCGGCCCGGGCAACCTCGTCGCTGTCGGGCACGAGAAGCGGATGCTGCATCATAGTACTCAAGACGGACTTCCAGCTCTTGTCGGTGAGCTTTCCAATGCTGATCAAGGTGCCAGCGATCATGATTTTAAGACTGTTGTCCAAATCCTTGATTGACTCATCGGTAAGCTCGCCGTAAGCTGGAGCAAGGTTCGTTTGAAGGTACTCATTTCTGTGCGAATCTCGAACACTGCACTATAAAATATGAAGCACATGGTAAGTTTATAGATCCAAATGGTGCTAGACAAAAAGCCAAGGGTGTACAATTGAGCTTACCTTGCTCCAATCGAAGTTGCTGACAATGGTGCCAATGTCCTTTCCCCCGCCAAAGGCATTCAGGATGAGTCCCGAAACTAGAGCCATGGTATTATAAAATAAGAGAGAACGACGGATAAAGATGAGTACGGAGAAAGACGTGCAGATTCTGAGGATCAATGAAGAACTTCCGGTATCTAGAGATCAAGATGGTGTAGGATGAAGCGTCTTCATATAGGTAAGGCAAGCCACTGCTCCTAGACGGTATCTGCCCTTGTGAGAGTACGTAGTAAATTCAATCTAGCCCCTAAAAGCTCGCTACACCGGCTGCTGGTAGTTTACGGCTGTTTATCAGGATATATTTGATCAAGGCTAGAGCTCCCGTTCTAGGTGGAAACTTTGGCGTTTGGGGTGGTCTTTTTTCGGGTTTAGGGCTAGGGTTCAGAATATGATATAAAGTTCAGAAAACAACCGCATAGCTGACCAGCTTCTCCACTTCTCGCCAGTTCGTAGATGAGGTGGGTCCGTAGGTGATTGTATAGTCAGAGTTGGATCGTAAAAAAGTTAGTTAGAATTGGATGTAGATCGCCTTTATCGTTGCGTAACATCCCCATGGAGTTGACATTGTTTTATTACAATAATAAATTGGGCAAGAATCCGAGATATTTGAGATGACTAACCGATGTTTCTGAAATTTTGGTGCTTATAAGTACTAAGTATATAAATGAAGTGAGACGCAACGATAAACGAAAACAAATATTTTTAGGGAAATGTTAAATCGATCCATCTCTTTACTAAATCGACCCATCACCATGAATAGCTGCCAAGTTAGTGTCTTCAAACAGTTGTACCGTGTAAATCTCAGCAGCTTCTTGAAGAGCTTGGATGGTAGAAGTTTGAAAAAGAAACCCACACGCCCCAGCATGTCGAAATTGATTTCACGTACCACACACTCAAATGGAGACTTCTTGATGAGAGATAACAGTTAAATTTAAGAGTAAGTTTGTTATGTTACCGTTAAATCAACCGGCGACGCGGCAAAAAAAAAAAAGTCTTGTGATGGGTCGATTTAGTGAAGAGATGGGTAGATTTAACATTTCACTATTTTTTCATCCTTGTTCAAGAAAGTGTCAAGGATCATTCAAATTGGGTTGCCTCCACCGTCCGATCCTGTGTCCCCCAGTTCCTCAGTCTAGTCTAGGCCATTCAGAACCGCGATGCGCGCAAGGCCGAGCCCGGATACCTTGGCTCCATCTTCAGTTCCTCCCTCGGCCTGGTTGTAGTTGTACGTTACACACCATTTTTCTTCATGTAAAAAAAAAACTGTTCTCTCTTCTTCTTTTTTCTCACTCTCACTCAACCGTGGGACCGGTCGAGCTCGTGAGCGGTTCTGCTTCAAGCATACCTACCATTCCTGGCAGACTTGACAATGTCATGGCAGAAATGCAAAAGTCGTCGAGCGGGGTGTCTGACGAGGACCGGGAGACCAACGCGAACCGGGACACGATGGTGGTCGAATCGCGCGAAAAATCGAGGTTAGAGGTGGAAAAGGTGAAGCTGGAGGTGGAGTTTGGACTGGATCCGACCGCCCTCCTGAATGAGTATAATCTTGAATTTAAATACTTTAATGTTTAAATGTTCATTTAATTAATGAACACTAATTAATGAATAATTAATTATTAATTGTTACTTTAATGTTCATTTAAATTCGATAATTTTCTTCCAAGTAGTTAAGTTAAACTATACCCCAATTAAACCCCGCCGAAATGCGACTAAAATAAGCAAGCAGAAACTTGGAGGGATTGATAGGAAAATGTGTAGACGTTGACAAGGTCTCTTGTACAAAAATGAGGAACGCGAGAGAAAATCCTTTGGTGGGATAGCATTTTATTATTTGATTCCCACAGGACCTCTAAATCTCCTCTGCACCACCTGAGTTGATATAAGAAGTAATAGCAGGTACTGGAATCAAACTTTTCTTCAACTTTTCCATATCTTGACTAGGGACCCAAACTCTTACATTCCCATCTTCACCACCTGTTGCAATCATATAGGGATTACTTTGCAGGACTCCAATGGGCTGAATTGATAAACGTGGTCAACATAGATTTAATCAACTGCACTATTCAATTCATCACTCTTAAGTAGTTGCTCTTAGATGTTCTTCAAAGCTATTTCTTCGCGGCTATCACGGAGGTGACAGTGCCAAAAACGTACGCGGAAGCGATGGCTGACGAACATCTGAAGAACGAATCAATGAAGAAAGAGATCGACGCCCTCTGGGCAAACGACACCTGGGAAGCAGTCTACTAACCCTTACCCTAACCCACTGTTTGCCGAGATGGCAGCCGGTTAATACTCCGGCACCTGGGTAAGGGTTTTCGCGGTAACGCATTTGCAAGTTGAAACATTGGCAGGGGCCTGAGAAGAGATATCTTTTCTTCTTAACAGTCTATCACCCTGGAATCAGTTTGTCTGGAAATAGGGTTTAATGGCTGGAACAGCTCCACATTTTTGTGAGGTCCGGTGTGCTCCTGACGATCCTTGAAAATCAACTGGATGCTCAACCTCTTGCCAGGTCGTTCTCATAACCGCAGCAGGTCTCCGGGGTGAATAGCCTCCAGTCTATAAATCAATGTAGACAAGGGAAGTGGGCAAAACAGATCCGTAACTTCAAGATAAGGATTGGCTCTAACTAGGGTTGGAGGCACGACCAAATTTTTGCAGGCATGCCGGTATCACAATACATGTATTTCCAATATTTACGAAGTATTCATAAATTTAATTATAATACTTGAATATACATATAATAAAAACTTTAACTAAAATATAAATAATCTATAATTAGTTATAGTTAGAGTATAGTAAACGATGCTTTATAATTTATAGAACATCGCACAATATACTTTCGAGATGATCTCCATATGCATTATACAACTACATCACATTCTAAGTACTAGACCACTACACTGGATAGTTTTTCACGTTTTCACTACACCAGATTCTGAGTGCTGTTTCCAGATCACGCAGACATTTTTTTGCTGCAGACCATATTTAAGACCAGGGACTGAGTTCATAAAAAGTTTTGCACCGGCATAGAAATAAAAAAACGACGCATATACGGAGATTCCGAAATTACATTATGATTAATACGTATATACATACAGGCATGCCCCATATACAAAATGCAAATGAGGCATGCCCCATGCCCTCGCCCGGGGGCATGCCTTTTTGGCTGTGACTCCAACCCTAGCTCTAAGGGTTGGGTATGTTGGGCCATTGACTGAAAACATAAAGGGCAGAGTTTAGGGTTTAAGGTGTAGGGATTAGGCTAGCTTGCTCGGTGTCTTGCATTGCCTCGTTGCTACTTCTTACCCGAGAAACAAAGGGGTCTACACTTGGGAACCTGCTATCTCGCCCTGAAAAGGTCTTGGCTGCTTTTTACTCGTGCCGCAAGTGGGACTCTATTCGACTGAGTCTCTTAATGTCTCACGTTGTCTCTCGGCCCGAAACACTCGCTCAAAGGTCTGGACTGATTTGCGCCCACTTGCAATTATCGCTCATTGCCCCGAAAATGTCTTGACTGTACTTTCCTCGGGCCGCAAGTGGGACTCCTATGCGACTGAGTCTCTTAGCGTCTCACGCTGTCTCTCAGCCCGAAACACTCGCTCAAAGGTCTTGACTGATTTGAGCCCACTCGCAATTGCGGCTCATTGCCCCAAAAAGGAGGTGACTGTATTTGCCTTGGTCCGCAAGCGGGACTCCTATGCGACTGAGTCTCTTAGCGTCTCACGCTGTCTCTCAGCCCGAAACACTCGCTCAAAGGTCTGACTGATTTGAGCCCACTCGCAATTGCGGCTCATTGCCCCAAAAAGGAGGTGACTGTATTTGCCTTGGTCCGCAAGTGGGACTCCTATGCGACTGAGTCTCTTAGCGTCTCACGCTGTCTCTCAGCCCGAAACACTCGCTCAAAGGTCTGACTGATTTGAGCCCACTCGCAATTGCGGCTCATTGCCCCAAAAAGGAGGTGACTGTATTTGCCTTGGTCCGCAAGTGGGACTCCTATGCGACTGAGTCTCTTAGCGTCTCACGCTGTCTCTCAGCCCGAAACACTCTCGAAGGTCTTGACTGGGTTTAGGAGTCGGAATGGTGTTGGGAAATCCTGAATCTGCAATAGATTGCAACTCATGGTAAAAAATGTCATAAGCCGTTGCCATCGTTACGAACGCCGTCACACTATGCAGGAGAACATAGTAGAATACGTCGTGTAGGGATTTTGACAAATTCTCCGTGGAGTGAGGCGTTTGTGAGCTACTTTATGATTGTAAGATTAAACCAAGAATTGGCATGTCTTCGCAAGAATAGTAAACCTTTTAGGAAGAGCATAGTGGAGATAAGCACAATCTAACAACAACGAAGAAAGCGAAGATGGTGCTGAAATCCAAGATTGGTGGAGCTAAAAAAGATAACGAAATAGAGTGGCAGAACGAAAGACCGTGGTGTCGACTATTTGAATACTCCAAGGAGCGTTACACCCACTTGCAAGAAAAGCTAGAAAGACCAAAGTATCTCTTAACGCGGCCGGTATCTGTCATATTCTGGCGCATCGACAGTTCGGTGAGTTCTGTGCCTGATCCTTGACAATTAAATGCTCATATTGCTGACTCGTTAAGCTGAACTTTGAGAATATGGATAGGATTATTTACCAACAGGACTCTATTCACTAGTCTGTACTTTAGTGATCACGGGGAAGGCAGTAGATAGAATAAAACTTAACTTAGGACAGACTACCACATCAGACCGCGAGAGCTTTTCATGCCATTTACTTGGTGAATTAATTATGATTGTCCGGATAAAAACAGAAATTGAAAACTAGAATACATGGAGCCAAGAAATTTGTGCACCATATTAGACACGATAATTCAAATTCAACAGCTCTCGGGCCCAGGTTTGAAATGTAACTGGATAAGACAGACATTCCATATCCACGCTCCTTAAATTATTCACAACATTCAGCAGTAATTAGGAGCACTCCAACTCAAGAGGCGGCGCATGCACGGACCTTAATGTTGGTAATAGAAGATAGGAAATAATCGTGGGCTACAACAGGTCTTGTGATAGGCATCTTGCCGTATCTTACAGTTGATGAAGATGCCTCAGTTTCCAAATGCGGTAGTCATAATGGGAGTTGATACCAACTCCAACAAGACATAGACAATGCTGCAAATCTAGATCTGCGACGATTTCAAACCAGATTAAACAGTCTGCACCGTCTTACTCTTTCACAAGAAGCATAGGCCATAGTTTTCAGTCATTCGAGTTGTCTGATGATGAGGCAG